TGTGCGTGTGGTGCAGGGAACCAGTACACTGTGGTTGACCCAAGTGTGTATTCAGGGTAGAGTAGGGCACCAGTACTCCACAGTTGATCTGTGTGTGGTGCAGGGAACCAGTACACTGTGGTTGACCCAGGTGTGTATTCAGGGTAGAGTGGGGCACCAGTACTCCACAGTTGATCTGTGTGTGTGTGTGTGGTGCAGGGAACCAGTACACTGTGGTTGACCCAAGTGTGTATTCAGGGTAGAGTAGGGCACCAGTACTCCACAGTTGATCTGTGTGTGTGGTGCAGGGAACCAGTACACTGTGGTTGACCCAAGTGTGTATTCAGGGTAGAGTAGGGCACTAGTACTCCACAGTTGATCTGTGTGTGTGGTGCAGGGAACCAGTACACTGTGGTTGACCCAAGTGTGTATTCAGGGTAGAGTAGGGCACCAGTACTCCACAGTTGATCTGTGTGTGTGTGTGTGTGTGTGGTGCAGGGAACCAGTACACTGTGGTTGACCCAAGTGTGTATTCAGGGTAGAGTAGGGCACTAGTACTCCACAGTTGATCTGTGTGTGTGTGTGTGTGGTGCAGGGAACCAGTACACTGTGGTTGACCCAAGTGTGTATTCAGGGTAGAGTAGGGCACCAGTACTCCACAGTTGATCTGTGTCTGTGGTGCAGGGAACCAGTACACTGTGGTTGACCCAAGTGTGTATTCAGGGTAGAGTAGGGCACCAGTACTCCACAGTTGATCTGTGTGTGTGTGTGTGTGTGGTGCAGGGAACCAGTACACTGTGGTTGACCCAAGTGTGTATTCAGGGTAGAGTAGGGCACTAGTACTCCACAGTTGATCTGTGTCTGTGGTGCAGGGAACCAGTACACTGTGGTTGACCCAAGTGTGTATTCAGGGTAGAGTAGGGCACCAGTACTCCACAGTTGATCTGTGTGTGTGTGTGTGGTGCAGGGAACCAGTACACTGTGGTTGACCCAAGTGTGTATTCAGGGTAGAGTAGGGCACCAGTACTCCACAGTTGATCTGTGTGTGTGGTGCAGGGAACCAGTACACTGTGGTTGACCCAAGTGTGTATTCAGGGTAGAGTAGGGCACCAGTACCCCACAGTTGATCTGTGTGTGTGGTGCAGGGAACCAGTACACTGTGGTTGACCCAAGTGTGTATTCAGGGTAGAGTAGGGCACTAGTACTCCACAGTTGATCTGTGTGTGTGTGTGTGTGTGTGGTGCAGGGAACCAGTACACTGTGGTTGACCCAAGTGTGTATTCAGGGTAGAGTAGGGCACCAGTACTCCACAGTTGATCTGTGTGTGTGTGTGTGTGTGGTGCAGGGAACCAGTACACTGTGGTTGGCCCAAGTGTGTATTCAGGGTAGAGTAGGGCACTAGTACTCCACAGTTGATCTGTGTGTGTGTGTGTGGTGCAGGGAACCAGTACACTGTGGTTGACCCAAGTGTGTATTCAGGGTAGAGTAGGGCACCAGTACTCCACAGTTGATCTGTGTCTGTGGTGCAGGGAACCAGTACACTGTGGTTGACCCAAGTGTGTATTCAGGGTAGAGTAGGGCACCAGTACTCCACAGTTGATCTGTGTGTGTGTGTGTGTGGTGCAGGGAACCAGTACACTGTGGTTGACCCAAGTGTGTATTCAGGGTAGAGTAGGGCACCAGTACTCCACAGTTGATCTGTGTGTGGTGCAGGGAACCAGTACACTGTGGTTGACCCAAGTGTGTATTCAGGGTAGAGTAGGGCACCAGTACTCCACAGTTGATCTGTGTCTGTGGTGCAGGGAACCAGTACACTGTGGTTGACCCAAGTGTGTATTCAGGGTAGAGTAGGGCACCAGTACTCCACAGTTGATCTGTGTGTGTGTGTGTGTGTGTGGTGCAGGGAACCAGTACACTGTGGTTGACCCAAGTGTGTATTCAGGGTAGAGTAGGGCACCAGTACTCCACAGTTGATCTGTGTCTGTGGTGCAGGGAACCAGTACACTGTGGTTGACCCAAGTGTGTATTCAGGGTAGAGTAGGGCACCAGTACTCCACAGTTGATCTGTGTGTGTGTGTGTGGTGCAGGGAACCAGTACACTGTGGTTGACCCAAGTGTGTATTCAGGGTAGAGTAGGGCACCAGTACTCCACAGTTGATCTGTGTGTGTGGTGCAGGGAACCAGTACACTGTGGTTGACCCAAGTGTGTATTCAGGGTAGAGTAGGGCACCAGTACTCCACAGTTGATCTGTGTGTGTGGTGCAGGGAACCAGTACACTGTGGTTGACCCAAGTGTGTATTCAGGGTAGAGTAGGGCACCAGTACTCCACAGTTGATCTGTGTGTGGTGCAGGGAACCAGTACACTGTGGTTGACCCAAGTGTGTATTCAGGGTAGAGTAGGGCACCAGTACTCCACAGTTGATCTGTGTCTGTGGTGCAGGGAACCAGTACACTGTGGTTGACCCAAGTGTGTATTCAGGGTAGAGTAGGGCACCAGTACTCCACAGTTGATCTGTGTGTGTGTGTGTGTGTGTGGTGCAGGGAACCAGTACACTGTGGTTGACCCAAGTGTGTATTCAGGGTAGAGTAGGGCACCAGTACTCCACAGTTGATCTGTGTCTGTGGTGCAGGGAACCAGTACACTGTGGTTGACCCAAGTGTGTATTCAGGGTAGAGTAGGGCACCAGTACTCCACAGTTGATCTGTGTGTGTGTGTGTGGTGCAGGGAACCAGTACACTGTGGTTGACCCAAGTGTGTATTCAGGGTAGAGTAGGGCACCAGTACTCCACAGTTGATCTGTGTGTGTGGTGCAGGGAACCAGTACACTGTGGTTGACCCAAGTGTGTATTCAGGGTAGAGTAGGGCACCAGTACTCCACAGTTGATCTGTGTGTGTGGTGCAGGGAACCAGTACACTGTGGTTGACCCAAGTGTGTATTCAGGGTAGAGTAGGGCACCAGTTCTCCACAGTTGATCTGTGTGTGTGTGTGTGTGTGGTGCAGGGAACCAGTACACTGTGGTTGACCCAAGTGTGTATTCAGGGTAGAGTAGGGCACTAGTACTCCACAGTTGATCTGTGTCTGTGGTGCAGGGAACCAGTACACTGTGGTTGACCCAAGTGTGTATTCAGGGTAGAGTAGGGCACCAGTACTCCACAGTTGATCTGTGTGTGTGTGTGTGGTGCAGGGAACCAGTACACTGTGGTTGACCCAAGTGTGTATTCAGGGTAGAGTAGGGCACCAGTACTCCACAGTTGATCTGTGTTTGTGTGTGTGTGGTGCAGGGAACCAGTACACTGTGGTTGACCCAAGTGTGTATTCAGGGTAGAGTAGGGCACCAGTACTCCACAGTTGATCTGTGTGTGTGGTGCAGGGAACCAGTACACTGTGGTTGACCCAAGTGTGTATTCAGGGTAGAGTAGGGCACCAGTACTCCACAGTTGATCTGTGTGTGTGGTGCAGGGAACCAGTACACTGTGGTTGACCCAAGTGTGTATTCAGGGTAGAGTAGGGCACTAGTACTCCACAGTTGATCTGTGTGTGTGTGGTGCAGGGAACCAGTACGCTGTGGTTGACCCAAGTGTGTATTCAGCGTAGAGTAGGGCACTAGTACTCCACAGTTGATCTGTGTCTGTGGTGCAGGGAACCAGTACACTGTGGTTGACCCAAGTGTGTATTCAGGGTAGAGTAGGGCACCAGTACTCCACAGTTGATCTGTGTGTGTGTGGTGCAGGGAACCAGTACACTGTGGTTGACCCAAGTGTGTATTCAGGGTAGAGTAGGGCACCAGTACTCCACAGTTGATCTGTGTCTGTGGTGCAGGGAACCAGTACACTGTGGTTGACCCAAGTGTGTATTCAGGGTAGAGTAGGGCACCAGTACTCCACAGTTGATCTGTGTGTGTGGTGCAGGGAACCAGTACACTGTGGTTGACCCAAGTGTGTATTCAGGGTAGAGTAGGGCACTAGTACTCCACAGTTGATCTGTGTGTGTGTGGTGCAGGGAACCAGTACGCTGTGGTTGACCCAAGTGTGTATTCAGGGTAGAGTAGGGCACCAGTACTCCACAGTTGATGTGTGTGTGTGGTGCAGGGAACCAGTACACTGTGGTTGACCCAAGTGTGTATTCAGGGTAGAGTAGGGCACTAGTACTCCACAGTTGATCTGTGTGTGTGTGTGTGTGTGGTGCAGGGAACCAGTACACTGTGGTTGACCCAAGTGTGTATTCAGGGTAGAGTAGGGCACCAGTACTCCACAGTTGATCTGTGTGTGTGTGTGTGTGTGGTGCAGGGAACCAGTACACTGTGGTTGACCCAAGTGTGTATTCAGGGTAGAGTAGGGCACCAGTACTCCACAGTTGATGTGTGTGTGTGGTGCAGGGAACCAGTACACTGTGGTTGACCCAAGTGTGTATTCAGGGTAGAGTAGGGCACCAGTACTCCACAGTTGATCTGTGTGTGTGTGGTGCAGGGAACCAGTACACTGTGGTTGACCCAAGTGTGTATTCAGGGTAGAGTAGGGCACCAGTACTCCACAGTTGATCTGTGTGTGTGGTGCAGGGAACCAGTACACTGTGGTTGATCCAAGTGTGTATTCAGGGTAGAGTAGGACACCAGTACTCCACAGTTGATCTGTGTCTGTGGTGCAGGGAACCAGTACACTGTGGTTGACCCAAGTGTGTATTCAGGGTAGAGTAGGGCACCAGTACTCCACAGTTGATCTGTGTGTGTGGTGCAGGGAACCAGTACACTGTGGTTGATCCAAGTGTGTATTCAGGGTAGAGTAGGGCACCAGTACTCCACAGTTGATCTGTGTGCGTGGTGCAGGGAACCAGTACACTGTGGTTGACCCAAGTGTGTATATATCATGTATTGAGTCAGTTACTCAAACTGTTTTGATGGTCACAAGCATTTCCAGTTGATGAGGGTCAGTGTGTTTCAAATATTTGATTGGAGTGAAATAGATTTTGTCATGAATATGGGAATGGTTTATGATAAAACCTGCCAATCAATGTGTTACCAGAGTGCTGAAGCCCTTCATTCGTCGCGACCATGAGACCAAGCCCCTCAAGATGAGGCTCCTGGAGGAGATTGTGGCATACCCACACAGGTGAGACATGTTACCCACACAGGTGTGAAATGTTACCCTCACAGGTGTGAAATGTTACCCATAAAGGTGAGACATACTTCACAAACAGGTTAGATATACTACCCAATCAGGTGAGACTTGTTACCTACACAGGTGAGACATTTTACCGACACCGGTAATGAGACATGTTAGCCACACAGGTAAGACATGTTACCCATAAAGGTGAGACATACTACCCACACAGGTGAGACATACTACCCACACAGGTGAGACGTGTTACCCACACAGGTGAGACATGTTACCCATACAGGTGAGACATACTACCCACACAGGTGAGACATGTTACCCACACAGGTGAGACATGTTACCCACACAGGAGAGACATGTTACCCACACAGGTGAGACATAACAATCGGCTGAGGTGAGACATGTTACCCACACAAGTGAGACTTGTTACCCACACAGGTGAGATTTACTATCCACACAGGTGAGACATGTTACCCACACAGGTTAGATATACTACCCAATCAGGTGAGACTTGTTACCCACACAGGTGAGATTTACTATCCACACAGGTGGGACATGTTACCCATACAGGTGAGACTTGTTACCCATACAGGTGAGATTTACTATCCACACAGGTGGGACATGTTACCCACACAGGTGAGACATGTTACCCACACAGGTGAGACTTGTTACCCATACAGGTGAGATTTACTATCCACACAGGTGGGACATGTTACCCACACAGGTGAGACATGTAACCCACACAGGTGAGACATGTTACCCACACAGGTGAAAAATGTAACCCACACAGGTGAGACATGTTACCCACACAAGCGAAACTTGTTACCCACACAGGTGAAAAATGTAACCCACACAGGTGAGACATGTTACCCACACAGGTAAGATATACTACCCAATCAGGTGAGACTTGTTACCCACACAGGTGAGATTTACTATCCACACAGGTGGGACATGTTACCCACACAGGTGAGACTTGTTACCCATACAGGTGAGATTTACTATCCACACTGGTGGGACATGTTACCCACACAGGTGAGACATGTAACCCACACAGGTGAGACATGTTACCCACACAGGTTAGATATACTACCCAATCAGGTGAGACTTGTTACCCACACAGGTGAGACATGTTACCCACACAGGTGTGAAATGTTACCCTCACAGGTGTGAAATGTTACCCATAAAGGTGAGACATACTTCACAAACAGGTTAGATATACTACCCAATCAGGTGAGACTTGTTACCTACACAGGTGAGACATTTTACCGACACCGGTAATGAGACATGTTAGCCACACAGGTAAGACATGTTACCCATAAAGGTGAGACATACTACCCACACAGGTGAGACATACTACCCACACAGGTGAGACATGTTACCCACACAGGTGAGACATGTTACCCATACAGGTGAGACATACTACCCACACAGGTGAGACATGTTACCCACACAGGTGAGACATGTTACCCACACAGGAGAGACATGTTACCCACACAGGTGAGACATAACAATCGGCTGAGGTGAGACATGTTACCCACACAAGTGAGACTTGTTACCCACACAGGTGAGATTTACTATCCACACAGGTGAGACATGTTACCCACACAGGTTAGATATACTACCCAATCAGGTGAGACTTGTTACCCACACAGGTGAGATTTACTATCCACACAGGTGGGACATGTTACCCATACAGGTGAGACTTGTTACCCATACAGGTGAGATTTACTATCCACACAGGTGGGACATGTTACCCACACAGGTGAGACATGTTACCCACACAGGTGAGACTTGTTACCCATACAGGTGAGATTTACTATCCACACAGGTGGGACATGTTACCCACACAGGTGAGACATGTAACCCACACAGGTGAGACATGTTACCCACACAGGTGAAAAATGTAACCCACACAGGTGAGACATGTTACCCACACAAGCGAAACTTGTTACCCACACAGGTGAAAAATGTAACCCACACAGGTGAGACATGTTACCCACACAGGTAAGATATACTACCCAATCAGGTGAGACTTGTTACCCACACAGGTGAGATTTACTATCCACACAGGTGGGACATGTTACCCACACAGGTGAGACTTGTTACCCATACAGGTGAGATTTACTATCCACACTGGTGGGACATGTTACCCACACAGGTGAGACATGTAACCCACACAGGTGAGACATGTTACCCACATAGGTTAGATATACTACCCAATCAGGTGAGACTTGTTACCCACACAGGTGAGACATGTTACCCACACAGGTGAGACATGTTACCCACACAGGTTAGATATACTACCCAATCAGGTGAGACTTGTTACCCACACAGGTGAGACATTTTACACACACAGGTGAGATTTACTATCCACACAGGTGGGACATGTTACCCACACAGGTGAGACATGTAACCCACACAGGTGAGACATGTTACCCACACAGGTTAGATATACTACCCAATCAGGTGAGACTTGTTACCCACACAGGAGAGACATGTTACCCACACAGGTGAGACATGTTACCCACACAGGTGAGACATGTTACCCACACAGGTGAGACATATTACCCACACAGGTGAGACATGTTACCCATACAGGTGAGATTTACTATCCACACAGGTGGGACATGTTACCCACACAGGTGAGACATGTAACCCACACAGGTGAGACATGTTACCCACACAGGTTAGATATACTACCCAATCAGGTGAGACTTGTTACCCACACAGTTGAGACATGTCACCCATACAGGTGAGACATAACTATCGGCTGAGGTGAGACATGTTACACACACAGGTGAGACATGTTACCCACACAGGTGAGACATACTACCCACACAGGTGAGACATGTTACCCACACAGGTGAGACATGTTACCCAAGCAGGTGAGACATACTACCCAGACAGGTGAGACATACTACCCACACAGGTGAGACATGTTACCCACACAGGTGAGACATGTTACCCACACAGGTAAGACATACTACCCACACAGGTGAGACATACTACCCACACAGGTGAGACATGTTACCCACACAGGTGAGACATGTTACCCACACAGGTTAGACATACTACCCACACAGGTGAGACATACTACCCACACAGGTGAGACATGTTACCCACACAGGTGAGACATGTTACCCACACAGGTGAGACATGTTACCAACACAGGTGAGACATGTTACCCACACAGGTGTGACATGTTACCCACACAGGTGAGACATGTTACCCACACAGGTGAGACATGTTACCCACACAGGTGAGACATGTTACCCCCACAGGTGAGACATACTACCCACACAGGTGAGACATGTTACCCACACAGGTGAGACATGTTACCCACACAGGTGAGACATACTACCCACACAGATGAGACATACTACCCACACAGGTGAGACATGTCACCCATACAGGTGAGACATACTACCCACACGGGTGAGACATACTACCCACACAGGTGAGACATGTCACCCATACAGGTGAGACATACTACCCACACAGGAGAGACATACTACCCACACAGGAGAGACATGTTACCCACACAGGTGAGACATACTACCCACACAGGTGAGACATGTTACCCACACAGGTGAGACATGTCACCCATACAGGAGAGACATACTACCCACACAGGAGAGACATACTACCCACACAGGAGAGACATGTTACCCACACAGGTGAGACATGTTACCCATACAGGTGAGACATGTTACCCACACAGGTGAGACATGTCACCCATACAGGTGAGACATACTACTCACACAGGTGAGACATGTCACCCATACAGGTGAGACATACTACCCACACAGGTGAGACATGTTACCCACACAGGTGAGACATACTACCAAAAAGGTGAGACATGTTACCCACACAGGTGAGACATGTTACCCACACAGGTGAGACATACTACTCATAACAGGTGAGACATGTCACCCATACAGGTGAGACATACTACCCACACAGGTGAGACATGTTACCCACACAGGTGAGACATACTACCAAAAAGGTGAGACATGTTACCCACACAGGTGAGACATGTTACCCACACAGGTGAGACATACTACTCATAACAGGTGAGACATGTCACCCATACAGGTGAGACATACTACCCACACAGGAGAGACATACTACCCACACAGGAGAGACATGTTACCCACACAGGTGAGACATACTACCCACACAGGTGAGACATGTTACCCACACAGGTGAGACATGTCACCCATACAGGAGAGACATACTACCCACACAGGAGAGACATACTACCCACACAGGAGAGACATGTTACCCACACAGGTGAGACATACTACCCACACAGGTGAGACATACTACCCAAACAGGTGAGACATACTACCCACACAGGTGAGACATACTACCCACACAGGTGAGACATACTACCCACACAGGTGAGACATACTATCAGGAGAGGTGAGTGATTCTGTCTGCACAGTTCCCCTGTGTACAATGTCGTCTATAATGTCGTCTACAATGTCACACACACTGCCTACTTTGTCTTCAGTGATGACTCATCATGGCAACCACCTCCCTCTCCCCCCATCGACTACTGCTACGTCCGACCGCAACATATACCATCCGTCAACACACTGTGCAGGGAGTTCTTCTGGCCAGGGATAGACTGTAAGTCTAAAGGAGTAGTCTCACTTTAACACTTTGTGTTTTCAATAAATGGAATTCATGGTGTGATCATGTTAAGGCTAAAAAATAATAGTCTTTGGTTTTCAAAAAAATATAAAAATCCTAATACTTACATGCAATGCACACAAAAAAATTGAAAATGGAAACCAAAACCAAACGTGCAATGAACTATTTGATGATGTGGGCAGTGCCTGAGAACCAAGACTTTTATTTTTTTCGCCTAACATATACATTATTATATATTAGATACACATACATTATCTATTAGATTTTCACATGATTTTACGTTTAAATGTGAGCCAGAGACTTCATTTTATATATATATGGAAGAGACCAGCTTGATTCACAGTTTCTGGTCATTATTTATTAAGTTTTCACCTAAATTTATGTTTAAATGTGAGTCGGAGACATTATATTTTTGATGTATGCAGTATATCACACAGTTTTTGGTCTATTTGTTCTAATTGTCTAAGGAGTCACGGGTGGCCCAGATGTCAAAGGTGCCACAATTTGCTGTGCAGAGTAGTGTCCATTTTGATCGTGTGTTTGAATCCCAGATTCACCTTGACAATGTTCCTGGCTTTTGCAACACCATTCCTGTGGTTATGAAACTGTCACATCACGCTGACACGCCATGATATAACTGACATTCTGTTCAAGGGGGTCGCTAAAGCCACCTCACTCACACGACATGTCTACAACTGTTTCAGTGTCTGAGTGTCTCCAGTACCCTGACTTCAGCTGTGTAGTTCTCTACAGGTAATTTGCAAGTTTGTCATTATCTCACAATTGTGTCATAACTCTCAGGTATGCCTTAATGTCAAAGACAATGCAAGTAGGACCGCCTACATGGTCTAGTGGTGGAGCGTCCATCTGCGGAGCGGAACGTCTGGGATTCAATCCCCAGCCATGTCATGTTTAAGATGTTAAAAGATGGTACTTGTTGTTACCCTGCCTGGCGCTCTGCATTAAGGGTTGAAAAAAAGGACTGGTCGGTATACCATGTCTGAGTGGGGTATTCATGTCAAACTGCGGCATGGTATCTCAGTGAGCTAGTAGACACACACACACGTGGATGCACGTCGCTATATAAGTGCAATAATCTTGGACATGACGTTAAACCTCATGTCACCTCACCTCACCAGTGCTAGTAGCTTGTTTCTCAAGTCCACCTGAAACACAACTACCATATCAACACAAGCAATCTGACAGCAGCAGGTTATATTCCGACAGCAGACTAACCCACCTACTCTCAGTTTAAAGAAGGATGTACTTTTCTTCAGGAAAGTGATCATCGGCTTTGCGTTCATGGTTCCGGATGTGAAGTACAACGAGGCGTACATTTCATTCATCTTCGTCCATCCAGAGTGGCGGGGAGCAGGCATTGCGAGCTTCATGCTCTACCATCTCATTCAGGTGAGGATTAATGATTAGGCTTAAAAAAATATAAAAGAATTGGTTCTCAGGCAAAGACTTCTAAAAATATAGTGCAGGCGGACGGTGTACCATCAACTTGGGAAAGAGCCGCCCTACATAAACAAGCAAGCAAACTCCTTTTGCCGCCTAACGAAACGTGCTGCGGAGTTTATGATGCGGGGGTAGCCTGAGAATCAAGACTATTATTTTTTTTAGCCTTGTTGTGTTATATTTAAAGTTATCAATGACCTGTGAGGATTTTGGGTTAGAACTGGTCCCTAACAACGTACGCTTGTCATAAGAGGCGATTTAAATGGATCAGGTGGTTAGTCTGACTAAGTTATGTCATGGTACCCTGTCGTTAAGTTGTTGTCTTTGATGACATCAACTGTTGACTGCATATCTAGGTGAGCAGCATTGCCGTGGCATTATTTTTAATTTTTTTATAAATGAGATTTGTGTTCTGTCAAAAAGTTGTCTCGGATTTACAAAGTTCTCCACAGACCTTTGGTCTGTTTTTTGTCCAAGTTTCCAAGTTCTGCAGGACAATTATAGTCATCTTTAGTTGGGGTATGCAATTATTGTCACTTATCGTCATTTGGAATATTTAGGCAGTCTCGACTTAATGATACAGCATATCTATATTGAGAATCAACAGAACTAGTGTCTCGATTAATGTCTTGATAGTGAATTCATGTTGTTGATGTTGTAGACGTGTATGGGGAAGGATGTCACCCTCCACGTGTCGGCCACCAACACCGCCATGATGCTGTACCAAAAGTTTGGCTTCAAGACAGAGGAGTTTATTCTGGACTTCTACGACAAATACTATCCCATCGACACCCGGGAGTGTAAACACGCTTTCTTTCTCAGACTCAGGAGATGAATAAATTGTTTTTTCTTACTTCATGTAACTTCGTGTTTGTTTGTTTGTTTGCTTGTTGTTTAACGCAGGACTCAGCAATGTTCCGGCTATATGACGTCAGTCTGTATATAATCAATTCTGGACCAGACAATCCAGTGATTGACATCATGAGCATCGATCCACGCAATTGGGATCGATGACATGCATCGATCAATTCAGTGAGCCTGACCACCCGATCCCTTTAGTCGCCTCTTACGACAAGCATGGGTTACTGAAGACAGATCTTCAAGGGTCTTGTCACCTCTTAAGACCAACATAGATTGGTTGGAACCAATTCTGTCCCGGATTCTCCACGAGGGAACTGATTTGGGTTAGTGAGAGAGTGATTATGGTTTAATGCCATGTACAGCAATATTCCAGCAGGGTCTTACACATCATTCACATGTGTCCGGACTAGTAGAAGCAGCCACACACACACACACGTGCATGTACGTCGCTCTATAAGTGCAATAATCTTGGACGCGACGTTAAAACCCCATTTCACCTCACCTCAGCTCACCTCACCTCATTCACATGTGGGGAATCAAACAAGGGTCTTCACATGACAAGCAAACAACTTATCCACTGTGATTCCCCACTTCTGATTTGGGTCAACATTCTGCATAACATTTGTCACAGATCCAAATACTGTTCATATACATGGATATGTACATAAACTTTTTGCAATTGACACTGCATCTATAGATGATCTGTGGGTGGCCTTTAAGTAACTGAAGATGCTCTGTTATCCCCTCATTATAATCAGATCTTAGTTCTCACTACTGCTAAACAAAGATCTAAGGACATCTCATTACGGGTCACGTCAGACCGACCTTTGGCAAATTTTGACCAACCAATGGAATGACTGACAAGAAGTTGACATTAACCAATTGAAGGCAGCTTTCTCATGCTTTATGGCACTAGTTTTGAAAGTGACGACTACGCTTTGAAACACATTTTGCCAAATTCTCGATGAGAAATTTGAAAACGGAAAAAATGGACATTCTGGAATGGCTAATAGATGGCCTTGATTGTATATATTCTGTCATAAAGCCTGTATATATACTGAGAGGCACAAATAACGCATACTCAAATTTAAGTGTCAATAATTTTTTACTGAAATGAAATATACAACTGACAATCAATACAAATGACTAAAGATTACACTGATGAATTTCATGAACAGTTACTGTGTGACAAAGAATTAATATCTATGAAAATGACGTCAAAGGCGAGTGGTGTCAATAACGAGTGTGTTCTCCTTGGGCAGCAATGCACGCTTGAAGCCGGCGAGGCATTGAGAGACACAGTCGACGAATTGCAGCCTGAGGAATACGTCTCCAATGATGCAGACACAGACTCAGACACAGACTCCAAGCCAACCAGTCTTTGTTTTATCCCCTTAATGGAGTAGGAAAACAAGTACCATCTCTTACCATCATTTTGTATGACGTGGCCAGTGATCCTTGGTCGACAGAATTGTGTGCTTTTCTGTGCATGCTACGGCCCAGTTAAAATTGGTAACATTTCTTTTTGCTTGTAGTTCTTGTATCATTAGCCAAGTGCTACTGTGACAGGATTTCATGCACCGTGAAAAGACTAAAGTACCATGAGCGTGTTTCCTGCCACTTTGAACATTTCAGTTACTTCACAGAGTTTAAGCTTGATGTGGGAGGAAAGCCTGACGTGATACAGGTCTTAGATGTTTACCACTTTTGGGTTTGTTTGTTTGTTGTTAACACCGCACTCAGCAATATTCCAGCTATATGACAGCGGTCTGTAAGTAATCAAGTCTGGACTAGACAATCCAGTGATTGACAACATGAGTACCAAAAGTACCACTTTTGTGAAACCCATGCCATTGGGTAAGGTGCTGACAAACCTTGGAACATAAAGGTACTTTTCAAGTGAGAGAGTGATTTAGTGAGATCCCCTGCATCACTGTTCTGCAAATGATCTGACTTTACAGTTTAGTGTGATCAAGTATCCGCTCATCCAGAGTGCAAGGATCAACACTCCATCATCTGCAGTGGAATGTGAGTGAGTTGGGTTTAATGCTGCTTTGAACAGTTTTCCAGTCATATCACGGAATGTCAGCTTAATGTGGGAGGAAAGCCTGAAGTGATGCAGGTCTCAGACGTGGTAAAACCCACAAGCACGGAATGGTGCTGACAAACGTAGAAACATAATCGGAAGCTATATTTAACAACAGATCAAGCCCCCAGTCTGGTTCTAGCAAGATGACATCAGCAATATGTCTCGTGCCACAGCTTTTAGGGCCATCTTCTCCCAAACTGCTTTAGATTCAGGTACAGTAGGGTTTGCACATCCATTTTCCAGGGAGAACGGCTCATTTGACTTCCATGAGTTTTACACGACATAATGTCATAAGCCTTCTATGAATAGACTTTGTGACTATTACATCGCATTGGGGCTGTATCATCCTGTATGAATACACAGATGGTGGAGTGAGCGAGTATGGTTTTACTTCGCTTTTAGCAATATTCCAGCAATATTACGGCGGGGGACACCAGAAATGGGCTTCACACATTGTACATGTTGTACCCATGTCGGGAATCAACCCGTGTCTTTGGCGTGAAGAGCGAACGCTTTAACCACTAGGCTACCCGACCACCCCTCACGGATGGTGGAGGAACACCAGTGATAATCTTTCTTAGTGGTCTCTATGGACTTTGCATACATGTCAGCAATTGTATTGTGACTGACTGATATCCATCTGAGATAGGACAGAAGACAGACATAGCAGTATGTTTTTAATCAGAGTTGACAAGCATTAACACACCAATCCATCTTTACAATCCACAAAACTTGCAACTACAACTCAAATAATTATGTACATGTAATTCTGTTTTTAAAGCCAAAATACTAAATCTTTATATACCAACACATTACGATATCAACAAACTAGTCTCCAATCAATCTCATAACTTTAACAAATCTTTGGGTGCTAGTTCCATGGTCTCATGCTTTACTGTACAACACTAAATTTTCGAGATTTAATTTCAAATAAAAATTTGAATTTACAAACATGCATGTTACAGAAGAGATTCAGTAGAATGTTTTACATATAAATAATTCATTTCCCAATTTACCACAAAGTAGCGGTGTTAACAGCCTTTCTTCTGATGAAGCATGTAACTTTGACTAAAACATATACATTTACCTACGCTACAGATGCTTACCATGTAGGTTACTGAATTATACTCATATATACATGTATACTCATAAACTTTAGCAAAAATATTAAACAACCAAAATACAACCAACAGTTTACACAAAATGTACAGTATCCCAATAAATTAGGCACATCACCTACAAGCTTAAATGGCGACATTTTTAGCACAATTTAGGTGATGTGAACAATGAATGCATTAAATGAAGAAATGTATGGGCATGACATTCATATACCTTGGAAACACTCTGTCGAGAAAAGAAAGAAAGAACTGTTACACCATATTGAAAATGGTCAAAAGTGAAGACAAAATTAATTCATTGTGTCGATATAAAATAACAATTGGTTTAAGCAATTGAAGAGACAGAACAAATTGATTACAAGCAATATCTAGATTTGTCGTGGTGGTTGGTGTTGGTTCTATACTGTGGATGAAGGCTGCCTTTGACGACAATGACATTCCAGTCATATAATGACTAGCCATTACATCAGTATGACAAGTTTTCATATGAAAGCACGCAAACATCTCATTACATAATCAAGACTGTGCACATGTGAAAGCGTTAGCGTGAGTTAGAAAGATACAATTGCATTCCTAGAAAAATAACATCTCTGCAAGTCGAGTGAACATGATAAACTGACAATGGAAGGTCAGCAGCCACAGGCAAGTTCCCTAATCATAGCTTTCCATAAGGGTCATGCTAATTCAGTGTGTCTGAAAAAGGTTCACATTTGTGCACAACAAACATCGGACTCTAAATGCCCCATCTTCAATTATCCAGTACCATATCCCCATTTTATTAGGATAAATATCGTAAAAGAATGGAGATCCAATACACTGGAAAATGATGGATGACTACTTGTGAACTTAATCTTGTCCTTCAGCATCAATCTGAAGATTCAGACTATTAACTGAATTTACGAACTTGGGCTTCAGACGAGCGGCTGAAGTCACTGAGTGTTCGAACTCCAGTCCTATCATCTTAATCAAATTTGGCCTTGAACACAAGGTAACACAGTGACAAGAACAATATATCCTTGATTGTGAACAATCACAATACATACACCGTGTCATGGTCACAATATAATATGGTGCTCGTTGGATGAACGGAGAACATTGGCATCACAAGATATGATATCTAAAGTGTTGAAACGTGAAACGCAAAACATATACAGGTAGTTTATCTAAGACAAGATTAGCGACATTAGTTTCACAAAGACAATCTACCAATAATTGTTCAACACAAACATTAACATACAGCCCTATGGAAAATGACATTTAGGGAACTTCCCACTGACTGTAACATGAAGAAAGTGTGGTGACATGTCACTTGTGATGATCCTGGGGTGGGTGTATAATAGGTTATAGACAATAATAAAATATTGCACACATGAATCAACCACTCCACAACAAATGAACTGCTAAGGAAAACGTATATTCAACATCATCTTTCCTTTCATACTCACAAGGTTAGAATGACTTATCTGTTCATATGGGAGAGCAGCTCAACAAGCTAAGCTTATAACGGTAGTGTACTCATTTGGGAACAATAACCAATACCTTATCAATACTTTTATCTTGAAAGTTCATTAAGATTTCAACATCGCAGCCTCATGAGTAACTATCTCCAGAGTATCACACATATCAGAATATTATCAGAAATAATTTCTGTATAATACTACAACCAATGAGCTACGTTTTTCTGAATACATGCCCGGAAAACATATCCGTTTCAATGCATGTTGGCTTCAGAAGATAGTATACCGTAGTGAAGTCTTTCTAACCTTATTCCCTGAATGTACAAATGATCTTCAGATATTAGATGATTCTCCATAATAAAATATTCCATAGAAATAAAAAAGAAAACGGAATAACAGTAATAAAAATCGACAAATATCAGTTTCTATGACTCCATCTCTGTTTACACATGGCAGTGGTTGAGCCTGGAATGGTTCATCAACGTATAGTGGTATCAAATGACCTTCACCCTGCAGCACAGCAGCAGAGGATTGTGGGATATGTAAACAATGCATAGATGGAGATCGGTGTGTATAACAGTCTTCTAGTTTCATCAGGATGACCTATACCAATGCACATTCAGACTTCAAATCAGGATGGCTGTACTCATTTGGTACGTGGCAAGTTTGAAATCTGAATATGCCAATGACCTTGGATTCATTGGCCATCATGATCATTCATGATTCAACTAAACCGTAACAACAACTGTAAATGGTGATTGTGCAGGGTAAGCTTATTGGTTAGAAAACAGTCGCCATCAGATCGACTTCAGGATGTTGTTGAGGTAGGTGATGGTATACCCCAGTCAGAGATATGCTGGATCTCACACAGATCACGTCATCGTGGCTTATTGCAAAAAAAAGTGTGCAAAATGAAATGACTCAAAATGTTAATCTGCTTAACAAACTCATAGATACTATTTAGCACTGGCACAATTCAAATCTAAGTACCAAAGTTACTTCACCCCTTCCCTAAAGGTTTTCGCTTCACAATATTTGAGCAAATATTGCTTAAAGCTGCACTTGCAGTATTGCAGCTATTCACAGCTACCATTACTTGTTTCGAGCCCAATAAATGTGATGAGGCATCGACTTTTACATTCTACTTAGTAGGACACACAATGTAAGCTCACTCTTACATGTAACATTTGCAATATATTTTGAGCTACCTGCCCTCTATCCACATGTAAAACTATTAAAGAAAATTCTGACACCTCAGAAGGTTAATAAAATAAGCAGATATGAGATACAAAATACTTTTTTTCTTTTTTTCCCCAAATCAGTGAAAAGATCAACCTTTTGAATATCATGTAGGAACATCAAATCCTGAAATATCTTATCGTGATACGGAATGTGGAAAAGATGGACAAGACCCAGCAATCATTATCTTCATGTCCCTGACATAAACCATCTGAGCATTGTAAAAAGATGTCTCCTGTAGCCATTCTTGTTTCCACAAAATTTCATCTATTGGTGTACATTTCCAAAATTTCATTGTTTACCACTATGTTGAATTCTTGGGACATGTAGTTTTGAGTGGACACGCTTTCAAATACTTTCGGGAATAACACAAATTGATTAAATTATTATCAATATGTACAGACATGGTACATGCAGGATTGGGAATAAAACATGGAGGTAGATACAACAATCGAGTATTGTTCGCACGCTTCACATAACATATTAACATTCTCCTGGAGGTTCCATCATACATGCATGACTTGCAAATATTTTCTATTTCCTCCTCAAAATCTATGGTGTTGAATTTCTTTTCAATTTCCATTCGCAATGATTAAATATCAAGCAGCAAACATTTCTCACTCAGTTTCAAAGTAGGAAACTTAACAATTTCCTTGTTACTTTTGGTAGAAACTAACATATTTTAGTCCCTAGGATGTATACTACTCAATAGAAGTTAAAGAACACCCGATTTGTCATATGACAATAGTTAATCTGTCAAGGCTGGTGCGTATTGCAACACAGCCTTCCAGTTGTGTGTGTTCTCTAACTTGTTTTGAGTACTATACATAAGACTTTTTAATACAATAAACCAAAAATCAGGTTGAATAAGCATCACACATTCATACCCCATGCCCTGTCAACCTTTCAGAGGGCAGTGGAGTTTAAATACACAAAAGCAAACATTGTCAATACATGTACAATAGAACCCAAGGTTTTAAATAATAAAACTAATATTAATAATGTACATACTGTATTACGAATTATCTTAATACACTTAGACACAACAGATGTTGGTTGAAGATACTCTTGCATCTTGTTATTGCTGCCAATCATATTGGTCAGTGAATAGGAAGATCCTTTACGCAGCAATTCACTCTACCCTTAACAATACACAGCATACAAGCAAACTGTAATGGAAATATGTTTGCCTAATCAGATTTTATGTTTAGGACAATTTATGGTGACAATGTGATGTGAAAAAATGTTATATAAATTACAGGTAAAGATATAAAGTGGAAATAAACATGTCTGACCCAATAAAACTACACTCCAAAGTTCATACCTCTGTTCAAAAAGATTTGAATAAATGACGAAACCTGTGAGACATACCCACAGTCCCCAATTCAAAGACACCGAAACTTCCAGGGCATTGGTTGGATGTGTTATATGCATCTTAAATGCCTCAAACATGTGAATGGTTCTCTACCACAAGGCTCCCATATGTCAATATCATTCACTCTATGAAAATGCTAAGTATATCACATAGCCTAGCCTAGGACTCCCAAGTCCATCTGTTTCACGCACGCACGCACGCACGCACGCACGCACGCAAGCAATCAAAATATAAAAATAATAAAAACCTTAGACAACCTTAAATACCCTGTTTAACATAGCAATTGTAGCACTACTGCAGTCACAAATCTACATAAAGGTGTAGGAACAATGAGAATCATAGCACTACAAGTACAATTTCAAACAGGGCCCAACCTCAGTAGAACATTAAGAAAATCAGTGAAGCATTAGTCAAAACCCAAAGATATGATCCCTCTAAACATCACCGATCACCGACTTTATTCCACAAAGAAAAAATTCTGCATGTTCCTTATGGAGATGAGTATATATGAATCCATAGAAAATTCCTTTTGGAGGTTCACACAGGAGTGTACTGTATTGGGTCAGACAAGGTTCAGACCTGACATCTGAACAAGTTTTAGATCATTGAAGATGTGTATGCATTTAAACAGCATTTCTGCAATGGTGGGACAAATATCCATATAGCTGGGACATCATAGTACAAGTGTTCTCAAAAAATGTTCAACCACCTGAGATTTTGCCAGCAAGCCATATTTTACTTTCCTTTAGTGTCTGACAATTTTTATTACCGATTAAATATTTTGACCTTGTATCACACAATTATATGTATTGTGATGTGCAGTAGTCTTATGAAAGATCTACATTAACAGTGAAAAACAATTTGACTGTCACTTCTTGAAAGGTCAGACATCTGAGGACAGATCATACAGGACTGACAAATCGTCACGTCTTAATTTCCTATGCAGGGCATTTGGAGAGAGAAAAACACCTGTCCTGAATTTGATAGTTTTTTGTGAACACTTGACAACAGTAATGGTGGTGGTAACAACGTGCTTCATCACAGACATTGACCAAAGTCTGTAATTCAATTCCCCCTGCTAGCTGCCTAGGGTTGATGTCTGCAATATAGTAACCAAATAGTTGCTGCCTTTGGTGATCCCTGGAATTGTGCAGTATTACCGGTACTTGATTATCAGGTATTTAACTGTTACTGCTGTTGTTTGTTGTTCCATAAAAACCAATCCCATTCATACAAGAAGCTGTAGGGACAATGCCTTAAGTTGTCCTAAAGCTGTGAATTCATTCTGAGCAATTTGTAACAATGATCTTCACACATTTGTCAAATCCTGTAATGGCCCTATATGTGATCACAGTTCACTACAGCAATAACTGTTTAGTGCCCACATGGTTTTTGAAAATATAAGAATTAACAGTCATTTTCAAAATTTGCCATTCATCAGTCAAGGTTCTGAATAAAGGATGTAAGTATAACAATATTTATTATACAAAATTGTGCTAGGTTTGACGGCACAATGAGCCATTTGTATTGTTTGTGTTCTCGCTGAGTAGTATTTCTGCTACTGCTGCTTGTTCTCCGGAAGTAAGAAGATCCATGTAACACCTGAGGGGAAAATGGGATTTTTTGTCGTTACGGTTCTCAACAAACAATGACACACATCACATTCACAGAAACTCTTCTGATAACAACAACAGATATAGTCATGTGACACACAGTTCATAAATTAAGTGTTCTCTTCAATATATTACAATATGATGCCCACCCACGCGCAGGTTGGATGAAAATGCACATGTACGCGAGCACAGCCTAGACTTGAGAAGCAGCAGGTGGATCAGCAAAGTCTGGGCGATACGGCACTGTATCACCTGCCTCCCATCGGGTACTGCTGCCAACCAGAGTTACTCAGTGGTGGCATCTGTTGGCCATACTGTGGCCGGAGTCCACCCTGGTTCATGGAAAAGTTCAACGGTGGTGCATTCAATGGAGGGAAGGACATCCTGCTGGCCGAGAAGTCACTACGAGGGCCTATAGGTATGTTGTTGGATGTGTAGGCAGGGATGCGGGGGGCCCCACTGGGTGGAGTGGACATCGACGGGGGCATACGTGATCCTTGGTTGCTTGGGTTGGGTAATGAGGGAGCTTGGTTCAGTCTCTGGGGAGGGGCGGATAATGGGGGAGGTGGGTAGTTCAGCTGTGGGGGTACAAACTCTTGAGGGTTTCCACACCCAGGTGGCATTGACCGCTGCATGTCGGGGTATGGGGAGCGTGGCATCTCCCCTTGGTGACGCAAGGGGGAATTCATGGAAGGACCTTGTACGCATGGACGTGAATTGACATTATATGCTGGACCCACTGAATTTGGTCTCTGTGAAACACCCATTCCAGAACTAGGCATTGGTGGACGTGGAAGGGCATTGGTATTTTGATGTGGTCCCACAGGCATGGAATTAGAGATGGGTGAATTGTTATTACAAAGAAGAGGCCTTTGGAACATTGCGTTGGGTGGGGGGCGACTCAAATCAGGTAATGTAGGAAATGGTGCTGAGACATTTTGTCGGGGCTGGTTGATAGGTGTTCCAGGGTTGACAGTATTGTTAAATGACGATCTGTTTGGAGGGGGGTGATTCAAATTGGGCATTTGGGGCATTTCATTGTAACTGCTGCTCTGGAATCCTTGTGGTAGATGTTGTAGCTGCATACCAGGGAGAGGAACAGGGTCAGATGGTTTGGGACCCGATGGCAGAGTGGGTGGGGCTGGGGGCACAACATCCTTTCGGGGAGGGAATGAGTAGTTGTTGAATGGTGAACCAGTTAATCCAGAGGGAGGCCCAATGTTTACACTGGAAGTCGGTGGTGGAGTATTCATCATCATCACACCTCCTCCACTGAAGCTATTGTTGTTAACAACATGTATATTGGCACATGTAGCGGAACTGTTAGTTTGTATTGGACTCCCTGCAAAGGCATTAACATTATTATTGGTTAGCCTGTTGGTATCACTGGATTTATTCCAATTGATGTCTCTCGTATAGAAACTATTAGTCTGCTGCTTGTTTGAAGGTGAGTTTTTGGCAGTTAAGTTGGTCTTGCTGAGCTGCACTGCACTGCCATGCTTTGCCTTCTTGCGTTCATCATCACTACTGTCACTTGACAAACTACTCAGACTACTACTGCGCCGCGAACGGCTGCGTGATGAACTCCTACTACGACTGCCACTACTTGACCGACTTCGGCTCCGAGAAGAGTAGCTATGTGAGCGAGAGCGACTCCTGCCCATACTCTCACTACGACTCCTACTTTTCCTACTATGGTCCTTCGGGGAGCCTGGGGGTGTACATGGCCCCTTTCTTTCAGAAGGGGGTGAACCTGGTGGGGTTCTGGGTCCCGTAGACGATGACCCCGGGGAGCGACTAGTGGTGGAAGATACACCTTGAAGTTTGGCACACTTAGCTAAAGCTGAACTCCCAAATGAACCCATAGGCTTTTTCACCCCCGAAAACATGCCTTTCCCATCCATTCCTCGCATACAGTTTGTAGATTTGGCATATTTATTTAGTGGTGGTGTCCCATAAGCCTTGCTAACAGATCGAGTAGGATCCTCACTCAAATTCTTCCTTTTTAACTCTCGATTGCGATCTAACTCTGATGAAGCAAATGCTACAAGTGCATCGAAGCCACTGTTAATCTGAGCCTGCCAGTTTTTGGTGGTGGGAGATCCACTCTCAGCCTTCTGCACCTTAGAACCTGCAATACATAAGGATTGCAGTTGAGCTTTAACCACTGAAATCCCTAATTAAATTAATCCATGTACTATGATCATATTTATTTCTTGCGTTTAATTAACTAACTCATTTAGCCTCCATTGCTTATAATATTTAATTAGTACCTCAGCATAGATAATTCTGCAGTTATTTCCACGGATTAGTTTTCAAATATGTAGGAACAAAGTTGAAATATTCAAAGGAAGCATTGTGCAGAGAAGCAGGAAGAAATAACACTCTAATACACACCACACAGCAGTGCAAAAAGCATGGCACAACCATAAAAAACAACAACTACATAAAACAAAAAACTATGACCATCAAAAGATCAAATACAAAACAAAATAATGAGAACTGTACATACTACTGGTTAAACAGGTCCTAAATTTATCGTTTTTGTGTTCAATCACTATGCCTCAAAATAAATGAATACAGCAGTTCCAATTTCAAAAAATTAAAATTAGGTTCATCAGTATTACCGGTAATGACTTTATTAGGAACTTTTTTCAATACTGCCTGATGAAAACAAAAGTGCCCCAAAGTTAAGTATCAAGTTTAATTGTAAAGATTTCCAATCAATATTAGACATGTAATTTGAATAACCTAAAGTTTCACGTATGATGGTTAAATTGCTAGTAGCCAAATTTCCCCAAATTCAGTTCTTGTGGTTAAATGTGGACCTGTGTCTCAGCATCTCCTAACATCCTAATTAGCTGTCAGCTCACAAGATAAACAATTTGTAAGTGGAATTCAAATATCACCTAAACTCAAGTTTTGTTATCAAATATCCATCAGACAAAATCACATAAAACATTCTTGGTACTATCCTATTGTAATACATATCAAGAGCCTGTAATACATATTAAGAGCCTGTAATACATATCAAGAGCCTGTAATACATATCAAGAGCCTGTAATACATATCAAGAGCCTGTAATACATATCAAGAGCCTGTAATACATATCAAGAGCCTGTAATACATATTAAGAGCCTGTAATACATATTATACTATTACACATATTATCACTACCTTAACTTAAAATATTGTCATATTGTTAAAATAATAACAGCCAAAAAAACCTTATTTGTTTTTATTCAAGGTTCATACATTTGGACTGATTTATCTCACTTAATATTCATAAGCATCTCAAGTGAATACCAGTAAATGATGTTTCTTCTTGTCAATGATATTTTTTGCTGCTCTTATTATCTGCTCCACCCAATTTAGTGTGTGTGTGTGTGTGTGTGTGTGTGTGTGTGTGTGTGTGTGTGTGTGTGTGTGTGTGTGTGTGTGTGTGTGTGTGTGAGTGAGTGAGTGAGTGAGTGAGTGAGTGTGTGAGTGAGTGAGTGAGTGAGAATTGAAATTGCACTTAAAACCACATCACTGACGGACATGCTCAAAGTGCTAGCAGCATATATACATACCGGTACATGAAGATACAACAGTCTGTATGAATGTCACTGGGAGTAGCGTTGGAGAAGATAACTACCGTATTCGAAGTAATAAGCGCCCAGGGCGCTCTCAAAATTAGGAATAGGGGGTGCTTATTAGAATATTATTTTGAGTTGAAAGATCGTAAATTTTGTGGTTTATGCTAACAGCCTGAAATGTTTATATACGACAGATATATTTTTCAAGAATTTAATTGCCCATAATTAAGGGTGATATAACACACGAGTGCGTATTATACACGAATAAATAAGTCTTGTGTACATTGATCAATCGGAAGGGGTGCTGATTGGGATTGTTCACTCGCCAATATATTAGCAAATATCGCCGTGGGCGCTTATTAGAGCGGGGCGCTTATTACGTCGAATACGGTAACCATTTTTCTTACTCATAGTGTCCATAAACTTCTACTTATTAAATTGGATATTATTTATTTTCTACATTAGAGTATCTATCATATGCCGATTTTCTCCAATCCTTATAAGGCCACGAAAATTCAGGATCAGCATTAATATTGTTGAAATAAGTATAATTACCAGTACAACATAGCTGAGTGTTCCCTAACAGTGAGCCAGGTATTGACAGCTAAACACATTTCACAAGGTTATCTGTTCCTTACAAAAGATGAGTGTTTCGTCAGCTATGTATTCAAAGGTTTGGGGTATTTTAGGACCTGGGTTGAGAGTATATATCCCTCCCACATGCGTGCATAACATAGAGATATTCACTGTCTTCGTTTCTTTGGTTGAAAAAGCTAAGATACACATTTGATAAGAATAAGCTCTAAAGTTTTGTGTTAAATAATTAATGTTTTTCATCTAGCAATTAGTGTTTGGAAATCTGTCAGAGGAAATTTGCCAGGACAGATCCTTACGCAGGGATGAGAATGGAAGATTTGTGGCCACTAAAATTTGTGGATCAGCAGAAGATTCTCACCCCTGCTTAAGACAGGCAGTTTCTAAATTCACTGGATACAAATAAATCATCTTTCTGTGCTTTATTTTTGATTGGTCATTTCAACAGGTCGTAAAAAATATATATTGAATATCACATGTGCAAGTGACATTTCAAATGATTCAAAGATAAAGCTAACCTCTCCTTATTATCCAGGAATATTTGACTGTCAACCAAATTTGTTTGTTTTCTCAACTCGTTAGATACAAATAGATTTGCTGATTACACAACTGTTACAAAGCAAAGATAAGCATTAATGTTCCTCCTGCATAGAAGAATCTTGAGAGTTGGTTAAGCAGGTCAATGCAGCAGTTTTATTCTGTATAAAGCATACATTGTTATAAGCACGAAAATGCTTCGTTATCATTTTTGGTTAGGTTGTTTTACATGCAATTTTGATTGTTGGCTCTTTTAATTAATACGATGTCCTCGATCTGATCATGAACTCATTCCAGCAAATTCTTCAACCAGGCGCTCAGTGAATGGTACATTATAAACAAGGATTTATCTAGGATTCAAAACTAAGTGACCCTGTCAATCACTTTAGAAAAAAGAATAACTATTTTATTCAAATTTGGGATTTTCTTCAAGTTCTTATTTCCATAAATTCATAGATAATTTAACATTGAATAATGAGACTGCATTCTATGCAATAATATAACACTAAGTACTGAAAGCTCTTCCTCTTTATTGGTCCTGTTATCCATGAAATACAGGTTACTTTTACAAAGCCATAGTATTAGTTACCATGGTTACATGTCTTCGTTATTACAAGTGGGAATTTATAAATTTTAATTCAGGTCAAATATTGGTCGAATGAGCAGGACTGGATAAATCCCTGTGGTACCTATTTTCCAAAATCAAATTTTGATAGTTTATTTACCACATCACAATTCAAATCTTGGTAGCCAATTTGATACTCTAATTATTCCAAAGACATTCATTGTAATCATGAATCCTACTGTGAAGTCCTAGATTCAAACTGCCTTAATTCTCATCATTTTTCTCATCATTCTATGAAAGTTTTGACTTGACTACATGTGCAGGCTACATGCAAGACAACTGACAACAAAAATAAAACACATCTAGGAGAGTTCAAATAATAAGAAACATGGATTACAAGTATTACTAATAATATATTCAGGAAAATTACACCAATACCACAGTATAAAGCTCAAATACTACACTACATTATCATGCAAGTGGTTCCATTCATGTTCTCATTCTGTCATTCGGTGCCAATATGCTTCCAATCACTCACGCCACCATGCCCACATACTTCATCCTTCAAGTGCCCATCCCATCCCATGTGGCCACCCCCACCTCCATGCTACCCGGCCCTTTCACAACCACCCCACGTACACCCACGTAAAGCCACAACCATATCACCCACACCACATAAGCCACACCCACTGACACTCAATGTGGAGCAACTGAACTAAGCGTTGCTAGTGACAACAATGACATAGCAATTGCTATGGCAACAAGAAGGCAGTGCAGTAGAGCAGCTGAATCAGCAGTTTTCCCCATGACAACCTGGGGACCAACTTTGTATCAAAATAGTCAACTGGAAAATTTCTGCATAATTTCAATCAACTTTGCACAAACAGGTAGAGGTCTTCTTGTTGTACTATAGAAATCATAACAGATTAAAGTAACTGATTCGGAGGTTGGAAAATAACATGAAAGAAAAGTATACTGCATCCATGAACAGACTAATGTAACAAAACTGTGGTGAACATCTTTTTCAAATTTCAGATATTTTTTATTCAGTAAGTGGGGGAGTGAATGATATTTTCACCAGTCAGCAATACTTCAGACATATCGCATCAGCTTGTAATTTAATTTTAATAATCAAGTCTGGGGGTGAAAAGTTGTTTTCTGAACGTTTGACAGCCTTATTCAGATAAATATCAGAAATATCACAGTTACTGAAAGCATTTGTTTGACTTGAAATGGACCATCAGATATTCCCCGGTGCATCTGCTTCCATGTATTCCATAATTATCCTAACCAAAATTTCATTTATTGTCCATTATAACTTTTCACGTTGTTCCAAGAAATTTGGCCATGTGCCGACAGATTTTCATAGTAGGGACAGGTGCCGCAGATAGGACATTGTAAAATCTTGTAATCAGCATGGTAAAACTCATGACATCCCTTAAATAAACTATTAAAGACCTCTTCCATGTCTGTGCAAAGGTTTTTGTCAAAACTCGAGTCATCAACTTTGCAACAAAAAACAGCAACACAACCTGCCATGCAGTATTCAAGAATCAATGAAACAAAAGTAGAATCATAATATAAGCTGTACTATTGTACCAAGGTATTAGGAGGCTTATTAATTAAAATGATTACACAAGATTGAGATACAATTTTGAAATAGATTATCAAAAGCAGAATTTTGTTGAAAACTAACACTTGCTATTTACAAAGACATATGTGAAAGACAATAGATATTTGACATTGTTCGACTTGACATTGCACATGAATCTTATCTACAATGCAGGATTTTTCATATTGCAACAGTTGATATTTTCTATCAAAATAATTTCTAAAGTATCTGAAAAACGTAACACATCATGCACAATGTTCTAATACAAGTTTTAATGACTGTTCATTTTTCATATTACCAACATAAGTTTTTTATGTATATATTTCTCATTGCCATAAATAAGAATCATGTGCAGCCATTAAAAATACACATACGACACAACCCCAAAGCCCAGAAACTTTGCTCAGTTTCGAAATATATTTTCATCAAATTTTATCATAAAATCTAAACACTTTGAATGCTGGATTTCTAATATGAGTACTTTAGGTGAATGCCTGAAGAGCAAGCTTTCTGGACATCTGGGTACACATTGTGACCAAGATGGACATCTCACCTTGAACTGTTGCAGCCTGGACATTCTGCAACATTCCTGGTCTTTCTTGAACCATCTGAGTCTGTACGGGCACAGGTGCTGGGCGCACTGCTTGTGCAACATGAGGGATCACCCTGGCAGCATCTTTGGGTTTGGGAGGTAATTGTTGGATGGGGTGTTGTGGGCTGGACACCGCAGTCACTTGTTTCGATGTCTTCACAGGTGCAGTAACAGCCTTTGAGATCTTGTTGACATGTTTTTGATTTGGCAATGAGGAGAGGTATGTCCCTGGAGACAAGATACTGACAGTAGAACCCGAGGAATGATACGCCGATTGAGTCGTGACACTATGGGAGCGCACAGTTGTGGCTGGGGGCTGAACTGGAGCCATTTTCAGAGGTTGGGCAGCCACTGTGTTCTTCATGACTCTTGGCGCTGTCCCTCCGGGCAACAGAATATCAGGACTAGCGGTCACTTCCATACCAGACGGAGTGGATTCTGTGCTACTACGACTGCTCGGGCGGCTTATTGGGGAGTAAGTCACTTCTGACAGCTTGTTTGTATTTGCTCCATTTGATCGTCCGTCAAAACTTTCACGGAAGTTAATCAAGTCATTTGCTAGAGACAAACGAAGTTTGTTTTCATCCGTCATGGTTTTGAGATCAGTTTGTTTGCAAGTGGGAATGTTCTTTACATTGGTGGCAGGAGATGTAGGTGAATTTACTAATGATTTATTCGGTACATGTACCGATGACACAGTTATCACACCATTGGGTGCCCGGACACCATTCAACACTGTAGGCTTACTAATTTTCAAACTCTTGGCCATATCTGATGAGGCGTATGAATGTTCCAGATTTGAACTGACTACCCCAGCATCACCCTTCCCATCCATCTTAATAGGTTTCGTACATTCCAGCAAACCTTTAATAGACAAATCTGGGTGTTTAAATGAACGTTCACAACTTTCATCACCACTTTTCACATCTCCAACGATCCCATTCCTTCCAAGATTTCCAATGAGAGCAGACGTCACATCATTCTTCAGTTTTGAAATCATGCTATGCATATCGCCACCGACAAGCTCATGAGGCTTGGCCTCAGTCTTGCAAGTCACTTGTGCAGGGCTGCTGGAAGCAGAGGACTTCCTCTTGCTGCAGTGTTTCGGGGACAGAGCTTTAGGTGTTGGTGCAGGTGTGTCTGGGAGGAAGGACTTGTTGTCAGCAAAGGCATTCATCGCCTCCAGCTTCTTCACCTCTTCCTCTAACTTCATCACTTGACTGACCAGCTGTCTCTTGCGAGAGTAGAATGCTGTCACTTCCTTCCACAAGTAGTCCTGCGTGTACACAGGTTGGAGGAAGCCATTCTGCAACAATAACACACTCCATAGTGCATACCTCACAGTTTCACGTGACTGTGTATGGATTAACGTCACTTGAACAGTATATAGCGTATCAGATTAAGGTGAGAGAAATCAAATATCTTGTACACACTAAGTACTTAGCTGCATTACCAACAGGTACAGTACCCTAAGAAAGTGGGTCATCATCAGTTGAAATCTGGAATTCGATCAGCAGATCCTGGCCCAGTTAACAAGTTTATCATTGAAAATTATGAATCTTGTACAAGTTGTACATGTAGAGCATACAGATTATTCTGTTAAATGTTAGCCATCATTGTTTTCCATAGAGCTACAGATTAACTCCATATTTGCGAAAAATACCCCCCAAAACTATTCATAACCCAATTACTTTCAATTAACTTGCGTACAGAATCGCATGCATTAATTGAAAAACTCAATTGTTTGAAAACAGCACGCGTAAATACCCAATGACGCTTTTTCGGCATGCGTACAACGGAGCTAATTTCAAAAACACAATAACGAGCTAATTTACTTTCCGAGTCAAACCTATATTTAGAACCGTTATATACATCTAAAACATTATTTCATTATTTTTTTTAAATCTCAAAATGCTTACTGATTTGGGGAAAAACCCAATAAAGTGATGAACAGATGAGTGAAAAAATAATGGTTACCCAATGAAAACTGTAATAATCCAAATAAAATAGAAACCTTCGAGTAAAAACTCAATGGCTCAAAAAGTTATCTGGAGCTCTGGTTCCAACTTCTGTTTCAAATTAAAACATTTTACTTGCCTCTTCCAACAAGCATTGTGAATCTAGTCATCTTTATATGACAGGAAGGACAAAATGATGAAGGTTGTAGGACCTGGTGACACTTATTACCTTACCAATCAAGGATCATTATCAACAGTAACTTAAGAGACTCTAAGCCATGACAAACACAACCTAGCGGTTATGAGATGCATCGCAGTTTTGGACCACAGACCCACCTGTGACACCTTTATAAAAATAAATCAGTTTAATATGATTGCTGCAGAACAAACACATTGTATCACAGCTCATACTATGCCTACCTTTCTCGTATTGTCATGGCCAATACCATTCTTCTCTGCTAGTTTCTGAGCATTCATCTGTGGACATCATTTAACGTTCATTACAATTTAGTCTTGTACATTTCCATTATCACTTTTAGTTTTAATTGAAAGGAAATACAAGTTATAAACTGACCAATGAGCTATGCCAAAATGGTTTTGGCTTTATAACATTTCAGAAATGGCATTTATAGAATTTTTATACATGAGATGTATAATTATCAACAATGATCAACAATATTAATAATATCAAGATATAGAATTCACAACACATCAGAAATCTGTACAGACATTTTGGCTGAATCATATAGGGTATAACACAGCCAATTCTGCAACACCTAAGTTGTGTTTTCAAGGTTCTTGTGTCCATGATACACATTCACACAGTCATGCTTTATCAAACCAGAACCACTGACACGAATGATGAAATACAACACATATATGACAGTAAACTCCTCTGTATTTCATGCAGAGACAATGAAACCAACGAGCACAAATTCACAGTAAACCAAACAAGTGCATGACCATACCAACATCTCTACGAAGGACCCTTCAAACGCCCCCTCCCTCGACCAAATCAACTAAAGGCCAAGCTTTTCTTTGAACACTGTTTGGTTTTAAGTGTGCATGTCAACACGACAATCTGCCAAAGCAAACTAAAATTAAAGTTGGTTAGGATGAATGCATAACTGTTAACTAATTTTCAAGTCTTATGTTAATTTCCATGCACTCTTGTTAAAACTGATATGTACTTGTGATGGACCTATGAATAATGGTATATGAATGACACACTGCATTCTTCCAAGACAATTTGACAACATGCAATTTTCAATGAGGTACTCGAGTCTTGATCCAGCAGTTAGTAATGAATAGGGTGAACATAAAAATATGCAATTGGTGCACTTTTCCCAAACATTTATCAACATGCCTTCGTGCTCAAAATCGCAGATCGCAATTATGATCTTGATTTGACTGAAATATTTGTGGAAATTTGATTTAAGTACTAAGATTAGATATACCTATGGTTTAGGATTCTAACTGAAACTGACAGGTGTGTACATTGTATGTGTAGATGGGAAAACAATTTTCCATCATAACTAATCTAGGGATAGGTTACCGCATGGAGTCTTATCTAGCCTAGACAGTTACACCATATCCCCCCCCCCCCCCCCACCCCATCCCCCGAAAGGCTCTCAGGATGCCCTAAGTGGGAAAACGAGCATGTTCTACTTTCTGTTTCCGCATTATCACAACTATTTCAGTCTACTAGTGGCTCTATGAGACAAACACTGATTCTTCAAAAAGGCATATATAACACGGTACAAACCACTCCAAAGACCAAATTTTCCTCAGCCAAATTTCTGCATCCAAATCCATGCACCTAGAACCAGGATATCATCCTCACTGATAGTTGTATTTCAAACAAAATATATTGTAACTCAAATACCAATTGAGGAGGCTCTTGCTTTTGACTCATTATTCAATGATTAGAACTGCAAAACACTGCGCCTATGAATTTTAAAACTTTTGTGTGGTGAATTTTGAAAAGACAGTATGTTATCAAAAGCACCATTATAAAACCAGAACAGACCAACAGGAGCTAAGGACATGCTTTTTACAGCCTCATACTTTTGTCAAAATACCTCGTTAAACTGGACGTTAACGGAAAGTTAATCTGTAAAGTTAAAACACCATGTGAAGGATCAATGTTGCTGCTGTTGCAGCTCCAACACAACCACAGCACAACTGTAACGACTTCGGTAGCAACAGCAGACCATGCAAACAAAGGCAGCAGCGGCAACAGCTAGCGGCTGTGGCGGGTGGGCGACAATGACATGATGAACCCTTGAGTACAGAGGAGCAGGGTGCCGAGTAACGGCAGAGATCCCTCACCAACTTCTGTTGCTCTGTCTCGAGGTTTCTGATCTGTGTGGACAATGTACTAGCCTGCTTCTCCAGCTCCTTGTGCTCATGGACGATTGTCTTCGCCTGCGACAGGAAGTCGTCAGGGTTGCTTGCATCAATCCCGAGCTGAAAAATACAATCATTCTGGTCATTGTTATGAAATGCAGGGAAAGTGCAGGGTCAAGGCAGAAAAAGACCAAAGTCAGCAACAGACAGAGTGAGTGAGAAATCTGAACACATCCATGAGCTAAGCGATATTTAAAAAAAGGGCAAATAAAACCTTTTACTTCCACAATTTGACTGATGCTGTTTTTCATGTGCTAACCCTCACAGTCTTCTTCAGATTTTTATCAAATAAACATAACCCATCATGCTGTATCCATGATTGGCTTCCATTCAAATTAAAAGACAAACACTCTGTCTTATTGCTACTGACACATTATCAAGTCAACGTAGAACCTCAGATTTTCATTTTTATTCCTACTGTAAGACATTTTAAAACATGCAAAATTTCAAATCTTCTTGGGTTATCCCTACAACAAGAGACCATGTATGACAAAAACTTATTTCTTGTTATTTTATTTTTGTCCACATTTCTATTGCCTCCTCCTGCAGTGTCCAGCCTGTGCTAACAATCTAGTGTCCTTCTCCCATGTATCCAGTGTAGTGGCCATTGCAGTGTATCTACCTCATTCAGCCTGGCTTTGAGCACACCCACACTGTCCTTCTGCAGGTTGGCAATTTGCTTCTCAAGCTGGAACATCTTGTTCTGCAGATCCTGCTTCCGCAACTGAAACACCATCACAAAAGCTCTCACCATCTTCATCTTCAAATATACAGTGCAGATGCTTTGATGGAACTTTAGAATAAATCAGTGATGTGGGAAACAACTAGCAAAGACTGTTTTGGTCCAAAAAGTCAAATTGTGAAAGACTGCTTAAAAACATATTTTTCATTATGTCTCTGGACACAATCTAGATCATGTTGCATGCAGTATTATAAGGGTAACGCTATTTTTCAGGGCATTATCATTCGCAGAAGCCCGAGGTCTTCCATTAAATGCCTGACAAAGGAGGGCAGTTGAAAAGATTGAGGGCTTCTGCAAATGATAATGCCCTGAAAAAGAGCTTTACCATTATTACAGCTAAAATGGATGGAATTTGTTATCAAATAAAAAGAAACATTTACTGCAATGAACACAAATGCCACTGACCCACTTTTACAAATGGAATTGTCATAGAACAAACCAGATGACTTCACTATTTAACGTGATGTCACCTATCACTACCCTATGATGTCACCTAACAACGGGCGTGATAATGGCCCGTCGTCAAGCAATATGAGGGCATTATCAAGTTACAGTGGCCCGCTGATTTCTGATAACATGCAGGTGGTTTAATAATTCTATCCATTTTAGCTATAATGTACATTTATGATTTTGTTCATATTAAGTAAATTACATTTTAAATTAATGAAAAATAAGAAAAGAACTCACGAGGAGGTTGTTTTCTGTGCCATGATCAAAGAAATCAAATAAAAATAATAAAAAACATAAACTTAGAGATTGAGAATTAGAGATCTAACAAAGTAAAGCCTCTACAAAGAAAAGGCATGTTGCACTCACATTTTCTTTGTCAATCTCCATCTGAACATGCTGCTTATATTGGGGACTCTGCATATACGCCAAGAATGCCATATACTGCTGGCGGAAGATTTCTGCAACAGAATACCATTCAGCACAGGTAAGTGAATAGTTCACATATAACATAAATATACAAATAGGTGATGCAATCGCAAGGCATGTGATGGAAGGATGCAAAAAACAATGGAAAGATGGGGATTTCAGGTCCACAAGTTCACAACCGGGTCCATTGTGGAGCAGTGATGGGGGAGGGGAGATCCTAGGTACCGAAAAGATGGAATTCCAACCTCAGACAGAAATAAATATCACATGCCTGTATAATACTTTGACTTTGAGTGATAGAATGAGGGATATATTACACCACGTTAAGCAATATTCCAGCCACATGACAGCAAAGCTTCCCACACATTCCCCATGTGGGGAATCAAACCAAGGAATTTGGGTCTTTTTGCATACAAATGTATTAACAACCAACTACCCCACCACCATCACAGGCCTTGGGGCTAGATCAACTCTCACCTAGTAACTGCTGCAGAGCAGGTGGTGTTTCTAGAGATGAAACGGTCTGGTTCTGTGTAGTAAGCTTGAACACGGAACTGGAATGATCTGTCATGCTGCGGTCGTTGTAGGTCACATCGTCTGTACCTAAAGAGAGAGAAAATAGATTAGATTTGTGACACACACAGCTGTAACTAGATTGATGACTGACACAGCAAGCGTTAACCCAAGACACTTGACAGAACACAGTAACTAGCATGCCTTCAGTTCACTTTCTTGGGCTAACCATGCAGGAATAACCACCCATTCAAACTAGGTATGATTAAGATTTGTTGTAAAAGATATGAATATGATTTCATATCTTTAAATTACTGAAACTTCAATTACACTGTTTATATGGTTTAGGATTTGATTGTTAGCTAACTTTGTGCAAAAACTTAATCACAATCCTATGACATACCGTATTCAACCCAATAAGCTCCCTACCCATCTAAACACTAACAATTACAAATTTGTGTGATAAAGCAACCTAGCAGCTTTATTTCTAGTCAACATGTTCTTGTAGGCCAAAACATTATAATGTAATCACATCAATGAATACTTACAGTGAGTAATTAAATATTTCATTACACAGTACATTGTTCCACAATGTTCTGAAAATCAAATAGTGTGTACATCTTGTGCAGCCATCTAAACACTACAAAAGACAAACTCATTAACTCTCCCATCATTGTTTGATGTCAAATACGCCACCTTCAAAGCTTGCAGCTAAACAAGCTTCTGGAACACTTATTGGATCGAATACAGTAAAACCAATGAGATCAACCGAACCCTCATGCTGCAACTCCATCTAAAGACATTTATCCCTTCTATTCCGATGACTATAGGAACCAGACCCAACGGCACAAAATAAACATGAAACATGCAAGGATAACAAGAATCTTCTCTTCCTAGTTCTCAACATTGTTCCTGTAAACCTACAAAAACGACCCTGAGATGCACAAGCCACTGCACACCAACAACACACACAGGACTTCACCACACATATAAACCCAGCTGACCCAACAAGGAACAGTTGCACGTACATATGCCCCCAACTCTGATGGTTACAGTGCACCCTTACAACAGCTACTACAACAACGACAGGTGAGATATGCCGCTTCCATCTACCTTTTCCCGATGTTGACAGTAGAGTGTGTGTATGCAAGAGGCTGAGTCCATCCAGAGCCAAAGCTTTATTTTTGTTGCGAAGTTTAGATGCTTTAGTTGTGGGGCTAACTATTTTCCTTCGAGCTGAAACAAGGGAAACGACAGCCATTACCATCTTGACTATAGGTCTAAACATGGCACACTGGCAATGGGGATGCTGTCACCAAATGTTGTTGCAGGAGATTGAAAAGGGTTATTAAGCAAGTATTTTTTTTAAATTTTCATTTATTTAGGGACTTATGGGTTGTTATAGCAGTTTAATTATTTAAACACAGAAAACATTCTCATTGGCACTGACATTGTAAGACAGACACTTTGTTAGTGTTAGTATCATTTCAGAGGAAATTTATACAAAAACAAAGTATTCCCAAAAGACAGACCTTCTCATATTTTACATAAGTATATAAAACACAAGCCAGCCTCTAAAATACTCGTGGCACTATCCTTAATAATTTGCCACCACCAAGATCAAATGAGTAACGGATACCTTAAAATATCAAATCAGCCTATATTCATCTTCTGAAATGTTTAAACCTTACAATATACCAGATGAGGTCCTATTTCTCTATTTCTAGAGATTCTCCTTTCAGCCCATCCCTCAGTCCCCTCCGAATAGATGAGAAGAGAGGAACTAAAGATAGGAACTGAAGAAAGACTGCAAGTGAGACTGCGTAGGGTGTGGCATGTCATCTACACAGTTCACAACATCAGGAGTGCAGCGAGGTGCAAGATACAAGGCACACATACCTTTCCTGTCTCGTCTCTTCTTCTTCTGCAGAGCTCCATTCTTCAGGTGCTTCACCTGCTTCTTCCTCTTCTCCTTTTCCATCTCTTCTCCAAGCTCCATGTTCAGCTAAAACAAGGAAATAATATATCAATACCAGTCTGCTACTGTCGCCACCAGTCCAAAGCCTGTAAATTGTCTTATCGGCCATTAAAATCAGCTTATACATGTCCATTCACTAAGACTTGTCCAAATACCACAACATTGCAAAATAATGCTGCTCGACTGATCCATCGATGCAAAATGAAATCACACATTACACCTATCTTGATATCCCTGCATTGGCTCCCAGTTGCCACAGGAACTGAGTTCAAAGTACTACCCTGTTCCAAGTGTTAATCTCAAGACCTTTGGTCAAAGATCTTTCACATACTGTGGTCCTTCACCGTGGATCTCTCTTCCAACTGAACTCAAGAACTCACTTTCTCTCTCTGTTTTAAAGTCCATGCTTAAATTCATTTAAAAAATACTACTGACTTTATGATATTCACCATGTGTGCTTTGAGCAACCACATTGTAGATGGCAGATAGTGCCTAATAAATGCACTCAGCAAAGAAAAGTATTTCAGTTCTCTTATGGGGTGTCAGTTTAATGGGGGAGTAAAATCATGAAATTGCAGAAAGTCTGGAGATCACAAAAAAAATGAATGTAGGATTTGAACACAGACCAGTAGATCCTGCCACAGGTAAGGACACAACCTGGCAATCAAACTCAGCACTGTAAATCACAGAGCCACAGACTACTGGGCCATCCATGCCTCCCAAATACAGCCCTTAACATGGGAAAAGTTACATCTTTGAACTTTGAACCTAAGAACTCTGAAATAAAAATCGAGGTAAATTGTCCAGATTGGTATGTAGTAACTGGAAGTGTAAAATGACTCAGCCCCGATCTATATACAGAATCTTCAACAAACACAACTTGCTAACCTCATCATTATCCTGTTCAATACTGGATGTTGGGGATTTGGGTCTAGCAGCCACCCACTCAGCCCAGCCCCGACGTGTTGTAGGACCATACAGGCTACTGTCGTCGGTGGTGGCATTGCTGGTGTTGCTGGCGGAGTCAAAGTCGATGATCTTAGCAGCTTGATAGTTATGGTCATCATGCTGTTCTCGACGGCGCTTCTTGTTCTTCTGATCCTCCTGCGAGAGAAATTTGGAAATATTATAACTATCATGCCTGCTTTTTCTACCTCTATTGATCAAATCCTTACCTATCAAACATTCTGTAAAGGACACAGTAAACATACCGATTCTTACGCTTTTCCTTGGATGTTCATGAACATTCAAAATATGCCAAAATGTTATGAACAGAAATAAATGATGCCTGAAAAAAATGTCCAAGCTTTACAATTTTGACAAGCCTGAATATTGGCAAAACTGTTTGCTTATTATCAACTCTTAAGACAGTAATATCCTTACATTTTCAACTAGATTGACTTTATCTTTAAAGGTAATAGGTCTTCCACGTCTATCCTTTCTGATTTCTGCATTTTCCTGACAAGAAAAAATAATAATAAAATAACCCATTATGTTTGGAACTAAAGTAAAATTAATTTCATGTCTTCCACGACAAATAATAATTTACAGAGAGATAACCCACAGTGGACCATCACACTGATATGAAATTCAGGGAGGTTATCTCCCTACTGAATCTGACGGTCACAAGGTTCAATACGGATTATTCGTAACAAAAAGCAAAATAATTTTCTGTAACACAAAGCAAAATGCTTAACATTCAGTGAGCGAGAGAGTGATCACCATATATAGCAGTACTGCAGCAACAGCACTACGGGAGCATCAAGGCATCACATAAGTCTACAGCGTAATAAGCTGTCATATTAGCTACCTCACTGCTCTCTAACATTCAGACTTAATGTGACATTTGTCTAATGTCTTGTGTTCTTACCTTCATTTTTGGATTTTTCAACCTGAGGAAATATTTCTCTAACTGAAAGAAAAGAAACACAGAACAGTCAGTGGTTGTATATGAAAACTAAATATATACTCACACAATACCTTCAATAGCCAGAAAAAAATATAGTTTAAATGTAACTACAGGATCAGATTAAACATTAACTAAGTTTTGATGACATCTAGAAAGTTTCAAGAGGAGTGATTTTGACTTGAAAAATTTGTTACTATTGACCCATGGTACCTAAGTTGATACATATCAGGGCCCACTTGCACAAAGCGATCTTAGCGCTAAGATGATCGTAACTCCCATACTTTAACATAGACTTACAATAGTCGTAACACAAAGATCGCTTTGTGCAAGTGGGCTCTGATAGGAAATATTTCAATATAAATATATTAAGTGATCTTCAACAGATGAACAATGAATGAAGATCAAAGTGTTTCCTCTTACGCCAATGACAAACAAATCTTCTGAAGTATCTTAGTAAATAGTGGTATAGAATGTAAGCAAGGCACTGGAAGAAATGTCCAAGTCAATTAATAGCAGTTTAAGCGACTTATAGAAACAACAGTTTGAACATGTACATCTTTCAACACAAGTAAAACTAACCAGAAAGATGTTAGTTTTTACACTGGCTTTTGAAATCTAATTGAACAACAATAATAACAAATAACAGTTTCTCTGAAATTGGTAACACTTGTTCAACAGTGTACACATTTTGACAGAGGGACAGGACTACAAAACACGGATATATATATTTAGTTCAATGAAAGTGTACATAGATATTGATACACAGAGTCTATTGTTTCACGCACAGCATCTTCCTCCTCCCCTCCATACAGTAATATGGGGAACCCAGACAACACACTATTTGCTCCACAATGTTTGGAAGAGAAGGGCAATTTGCAGTAGAACATAATTTAAATTACTCAGTGCATAGATATCTGCAGTTCAAGCATGAATAGTAGTTAAGCCTGGAAGGTGACAAGCTAGAATAGTGACAACTAAGGGAACCACCCTGAAAACACTGGCCAACTTGTCAATGAGGAACTTGAACATTAGAAACATTATCAGGATCCCAGGGAACCTGCATAAAGAAACTGTTGGATTTTGGGAGGGGCACCTGCTTCAGATTTAACACTGCAAGTTGTAAATTGTGTTAATTCCATCCCTGGCCAATAAAATTACATTGATATAGAGGTAACATACATACAAGGAGATATGAATGACCATGTAATATTTTGTGATTTCTCTATGGCTGATGACACCCTTTCCACAGACATAATGAAACATGGAAGAAGGTGCCGACACCAATGCTACACATAACACCTAGATGCCTATGAGCGTTGTCCCAGCCTGCATGGCCTACAATGTCAGTAGCGGCCGAGTTACTCACCAACGTTCTATCTATTGTGTGAACATAGTAGGTAAATGGTTTGCCGGTCCAGGATACGGCACCACATAGTGGGGACAGCTCCGTTACATGCATGATTGTCCCAATATCTGCAATGGCAGAAAGCAATTTAACATCATGGTCCTACCCACCCCACCTACAGTGGCAACTGCCCGTCCAGATCTCGTGTAACACATAGCCAAAATATTTCAACAGCTTTCTCCAATATAAATCCTTTCTGCTTCAAATCTAGCATTCCTTTTCTGAAGAAGTCAAATTTGATGCTTTAACAATCCCAATTCATCACCGTCTCCTTTGCATCTGCTTTAGGTGCAAAAAAAGACAATGGAAACAATTCTGACATAAACAGATGACAATCGGGCATGTTGACATAATTTGATCAATTTTTATGTTAATCATCTACAGAAAATACAAGGATGAAACATACTGGAAAACAGCTGTGAAATTATAAGCCATATGCATTTGGAGACCATCAAGGCAGCACCAACCTTAAACTGCCTAGGTTGAAGATGATGACATGCAGCTGGCATGCAGGGCTGATGAACTGGGACAAACAGAAGGTTAGCCAAGAAAACACCACTCACACACTCCACAACATGGCTCCCTAAACAAAGGGGAGGTAACTATGCCTGGCTTATGGAAGGGCAGGCAACTCCGGGCAACTCACCAGACTTCTATCTAGAGTATGTAGATAGTAGGTGACTGGTTTGCCTGTCCAAGACACTGCACCTCGTAATGGGGACAGCACAGTAACATGCATAATTGAGGCTATATCTGGAAAAGTTAATGGATCAAGGCAAAAGATTAAAACAAAAGTAGCTTACATCTGCCTTGCATTTAATAAAGTTTCTTTCATTTTTGATGTATTCGAAATTTGAGGAAAGTGTCTAAAAATCCATTTTGAATGCATGCAATACTTCTGATAAAATCAGAAGTTTACAAATTTTTAGACTCAAAATAAAAAAACCACTTTGACTCATATTTTCAGAAGAAAATCTCATTTGGAGTTGATCATACTGATAATTCAAGTATATTAGTAAATGACTATGAAACCTGTTGAGTTCTTGCACAACATACCAAAGTTAGTTTCATGAGTGAAAAGGGTGTTTCTTCCAAAATCAAACCTACTGATAATCATGACAGTGAATTTGGTAAGGACCAGGCATGTGTAAAGATAAAGGCCAATGGAGAAAGAAAGCAGTAGAAATGAAATGAGGATGAACAATCTTTATTCCATGGATGAAGATGTCTCAAAATTGACATGATGATGGCAGAAACAAAATGAACGATCCAACTACGGGCTTAATAATATCTACATTTGACAAACTTTCACCTTTACACAATGCAGATCAACATGAATCAATACCTTAATGGCAAAGAAGTGAAATAAAGAACAGAAAGAAGTAAACTTATTCTATGTGAAGATTTGATAGAAGTGTATTGTCACAGTGTGATTGAAAAATAGTCTAAATCCTAATAATTCTCTCAACAACCAACACCATCAACGTTTGGTAACTAAATGATTGAAGTTTCATGCAACAAAATATTTTGTGATGTGTCCATAATAGGAGCATGTATTAATGAATTTTTCAAGATTATGCAAGTACTTTTTTTCATATTTTATTTCAAGAGTTTAAACTTGTGAGTTAAATGATTGTGACAAATGAATTTACTCCAATCTACTAATGCGGACAACTTTACTTCTACTGCATGCAAAACAAATGAATCATTAACACTGCTTATTACCACCTAAAACACACACAAACATGCACGTGACATGAAAATTGTCTACAGGATAAAACTAAAAATTAAAAAAATATATCATAATATCCAGGTTCATCCAATGGATGCAACAAAATGCTATTTTTACAAAGATATCATTTATCATTAAGATGAATCATGTATATCCAGTTGATTGTGTTACATTAGAATGACATGAATAACACTGATTGAGTAGGGTGATTAATCAAATCAAATCAAATTTGAGAATAATTCTAAGTATTTACTCTAAACTCAAATTATGCCATGTAATTTACTTGAGTGAAATCACTGACGAAAAAACTCACCACTGAGATTTCTGTCTGTGATTCTGAAGTTGAGCGGACAGAATGCTTTGGATGACACAATTTTAGCACCTTCTTTCATGTTGGAAAATCTAAGTTTCAGCTGCAACATGAATACAGGAATTGTTAGAATTTGGTTCAGCCAATCACAATAAAATCTGTTAAGTACAGACAAATGCAATGATTAGACTGAACAATACTCAGTATCCGAATCTCATTGAATGACTTCAGAATATTTGTAAGGGCAGCCATTTTGCTTTTTTGTTCCATTGAGTAAGTACGGCTTTGTACCAATTTTACAAATATTCCAGCGATATCATTGCAGTGGAAACCTGACGTGGGCTTCTCACATTGTACCCATGTACGGAATTGAACTGGGCTTTTGGCAAATAGTCTGAAAAAGTTATCTCGGTAGTCAAAATATATTTTCAAGATGAAACATAGTCTGTGTCAGAATTTCTATCAAATGCTACTGGACAATCGCCATAACATTATTCACAGATGAGTTTATCTTCAAAATAGCGAGCACATACCTGATGATCTACCTGAGGTCCAAAGGCAAAGTTGTTAACAAATATCACACTGAAAAATAGAAGACAAGATTCTTTTTACTATATATTTTGAAAAGAAAAGTGAGTAAGGATGGTTTTATGCTGCTTTTACAGCATCAGAAATTGGCACCAGTCCTATCATGCCTACAGTCCTTGCCAGACTGCCCAATAGTTAAGGTGTCATGAGGACTCATAGAAATTGGCCACTTATAAGGGTTTTACTCTATGTTATCATTGAAGGGACTACTGGACTACAAATATTAGTTTCTACACCTGCTTTTAGTAATATTCCAGTAATATCACTTCAGGGGCCATGAGAAATGAGCATCACACATTACATCCATGTGGGGACATTACATTGGCTACCGCTAGGCTACCTCACAGCCCCTTGAAATAGAATAAATAGAAACTTTAGAATGAATGTTATTACCTAAAATGGGACAGAATTAGAATACTTACGTTGCATTGTTTAGTCTATCTTTCATCTCTTCACATAGAAAATCTCCCTTTTCCAACTGCAAGAACCAACAGCATGTTAATATCAAGCACTTTCACAATTAAAACTAGAATATATACTACCCTAAATATAGAACAACCAATCCTTTCACACGACTATTGTATATCTGTCATACTATGAGTGAGTGAGTGAGTATGGTTTTACGCCGCTTTTAGCAATATTCCAGCAATATCACGGCGGGGGACACCAGAAACGGGCTTCACACATTGTACCCATGTCAGGATTCGAACCCGGGTCTTCGGCGTGACGAACGAACGCTTTAACCACTAGGCTACCCGACCGCCCCCGTCATACTATGAGCAACTTTAGTAACAATTGGGTGTTTTAAACTTTTAGGGGTTCTTTAACTTCTACTGTGTTGTATTCTTCACTATAAACTTTCACCAAAAACATGTATTCAGTCTGTGCAAAAACATTTTGAATCTACTAGCCCAAACATGACTCAGTATCATGTTTAGCACATTTTAGTGTTATCAACTCATAAGTACTATTATTAGCTGAGCATACTAGACCATAGGGCTGGGACGGGTAACTCCTGTACCTGGGTCGGGTGGGTACTGAGTAGGACCCGGGTACCCACAGGACTACCCGGACCCGTGGTTAGTCATGTGATATATTGTTTAATGACAAAAATTATCCAAAACTCTATGGCTATACTACAAGTCACTAATGTTTGCATTTCTTTCAGACTATACACCACATCTTCTGACTTTTCATATGGTTAAATAAAGATATAACTTAAGTCAACTTCAGTGTATGCATCACCAGATGTTTAATACATGTATCTAAATACGTTTTGCCAGGGCTATGGTAAAACATTTTTATTCCCAATTGGACATTTTGTACCTATCTCTTGAGACCTACAGTGGATACCCGGGTAGGGTCGGGTAATAGGGGGTTGGGTACCCGGGTAGTACATTTGGACTCGTCCCAGCCCTACTAAACCAAACTGAATTCTAGACTCAGGCTTCGGACAATGACAAAGTCACAGTTCCCACAAAACAGCTTATTATTGAGCACACCAAGGAGTTTCTGTTTATGAATCTTACCTTATAATCACTGTATTTCTTCCCATACCATCTCGTCCACTTCCGGAATTCTTTATCCATGGCCTGAAGTTAAAACAGTCAACATTTAGACGCGACATAGCATTTCACATCATCAGTGCATAAATTTGTTTCCAATATTACAGAAATAACAAGCTAAAGTGCATGTTTATATAAAGGATATTATTTCCAATGATATTCCATAATGTGCCATCAATAATAAACAATCACGGAAACGTTGCGAGTATGCTGTACCTGTCTATTCATTAGTTGGTTTCTTATTAATATATTTTTTATCCAAATTTATCTAAAATAACATCTGATCAACATGATATCTTGTCCATGATGTAAAATTAGTAAAATCTCAATATTTTTTACATTTGAATACTTATCCTGCATTACTCCTAAACACATTTACTAATGAATTTTTAAGGAAAAACGAAGCTGTGTGAGGTCCAGCTGAAGAAGTTGTTACCTAATACTTCTGACCAATGAATCATAATTCATGTGGATATTACATTAAACAAATAATTTTTGCTGGGAAACCTTACCCCTTGATACAAGGCTGGCCACTCTGCCTTCTCCATGCCATAACACATCTTGCAGGGGGTAGCTGACGCCACCTGCAGCACCACCTGTCCCACACCTGCAACCCAGGACATATGTATATGTACCGGTAAGCCATCTGTTCACATAGGAAACACCTGATCTTTGAAACTAATCATCCATAAAGAAATACACTGAACAAAAGAAGTTCGGGATCATGAATATATTTGGGGCTTATTTTTTTGTAGTGAAGACTGAGCACACAATTTCATAAAAATATTCCCCAAAATAATCATGATCCCTGACTTTTGTTGCATAGATAAAAAACATTTTTTCTAACACTAGCGTTGCCAAGTGGTTTGCATTATTATTGATCACGGATCACAATCATGTTTGTTCACATACCAATCAATTATCAATAATATCAAAAATTAGTTGCCTTTTTTTCTGTATTTTACAAATATTTGTTACTCAAAGAATTGTTTTTTTAAACCATGATCTGAAATTAAAGAAACTTATTCCATAAATGAAAATGACTGCAATTTGATGATGTAAGTGTTGATGTGAACTTTTTATAAAGTGAGTGAGTGAGTGAGTGAGTGAGTGAGTGAGGTTTTACGCTGCTTTTAGCAATATTCCAGCAATTTCATGGCGGGGGACACCAGAAATGGGCTTCACACATTGTACCAATGCCGGGAATCGAAACCGGGGCTTCGGCGTGACGAGCAAACGCTTAAACCACTAGGCTACCCAATAAAAAAATTGATATCAGAAAGCATTTTCCTTCACAGTTGATTATGGACTGTAAACAGTCATTACAACCTAACAGGATCCCAAAAATCGTTAAAAAAATTATGTTTATTAGAACATGCCTGTCTGAGACCAACAGCAATGTTACCGGGGTACATGTATCAGGAAAACCTTCCTGAATACTCACCACTGCCAAGGTCTATGAAGCTGTCATCTTCTGTGAAATTGATGGAACGAATCATTTGGTCCACTAGTTCAAAGGATGTTTCACCATAGACCTGACAACAGAATATTGAATAAAATGATACAAGCGGTCCTTAGCATGCATCTTAAGTCCAACATTCAAATCACCCTCAATTAGAAGAGTGAGTGAGTTGGGTTTAACGCCGCTTTTAAGATTATTCCAGTTATATCCATCGTGTCAGCTTAATGTGGGAGGAAAGCCCGAAGTGATGCAGGTCTAAGACGTTTACCACTTGGGTGAAACCCACGAGCACGGGTATAGTGCTGACAAACCTAGAAACATAATTGGGGCGAACTGGGATTCGAACCCACAATCATAGGTTTCTGGCGTGCCCAAGGGACGCAACTCTGCACAGCGAATCGCGGCGCCTTAGACGACTGGGCCACCAGTGCCCCCTGAATTAGAAGAAGGTACAAGTATATAAAGTCAAAACAGATCATGATTTGCCATACTCATTAGGATTTCAGCATCAGGCAGAGATATGATCCTGATTGAAGGATGACATGCATGATAAACTGGCAAGAGATGATCTCAACATTATTTTCCATGGTTAAGAATTACAGTGACATGTACAGCTCAACACTGGTTATCTTGGCAACAGTGCATTTAACATCTTTACATCTAAAATCCCTTTGGAGATTCAAGAGTTAAATCATCCTAGAGTAACACCCTTATCATAAGAGCTGATTAAATTGGTATCAATCTGTTCCAGTTTGTGACCTTGACGAATGTCAATATATTCTAACATAGTTGCTCATGCTTTTTAACCCCTGGTTTGGCCCCTGGTATTGTTTATCTGCCAGGAAATAATTGTCATTTTGCTGATTCCATGGAAAACTTGTTCAGACTAGCAACCAACTGTGTTGACGTCTAATTACCTCGGGTGAGAATGGTTCATACTGGTTGAGCTTCTCAGGGTCGGTGACAGCATGGTTGTAGCACTGCTGGAGAATGTGTTTCAGCAAGGTGGTGGAGGGACGCTTGTTTAACTGGTATGTCTGGGCTGTTCCTTTCCACTGTTAACAAAGAAACCGAAATATTAAAGCAGGTACAGCCTACATCAGGTATTCTACTGAAACTGATAATTACCTACACAACACTGAATCTTCCAATACTGTTCAAGGGTAAGGAAATGTGTCTTTAATCAACCAATAGTTTTGCTGAATATTTGTGGTAAGTCAATATGAATAAATTAATAGTTATTGATTTTAAAAAAAACAACTTAAAAATGCTTTTGTAAGAAAAGAAAATCAGTTTACAATAAACACTACCCATCAATATATTCAAACAAAACAAATAAATCCATGAGTCAAAATACTCCAGTGGACATAAATATTACTGTATTCAACATAATAAGCGCCCTGCTCTGATATATTGGCTAGTGAACAATCCCAATTAGCACCTCTTCCGATTGATCAATGTACACAAGACTTATTTATTCATGTATAATACGCACTCGTGTGTTATATGCACCCTTAATTATGGGCAATTTAATTCTGGAAAAATATATCCGTCGTGTATAATACGCACAGACTTTTCCTTTGTATCATTGCATGTACATAAACCTAGAAATTTACGATCTTTTCTCTCACCAAATTATATTCTAATAAGAGCCCCCTATTTCTAATTTTGAGAGCGCCCTGGGCGTTTATTACATTGAATACGATATGATGTCTTCACTATGGATATGATTGGTACTCACCAGCTGAAGCGCGCTGTCTAGGTTGTTGTTGTACGTGTCGCATAAATGCTTCAAACTTTCGTAGCTGAAACGAAAATGGCCCACATTAAACTTGCTCCATACACAACGCAAAGACCCTTGTATAAACTTCCCACATGCCTTGTGTCAAAGATCCCACCTTGCATTAAATCAGCTAAATTTGAAATGTATAATAACGATATCAAAACGATTATCATTTATTCATTCAGCTCCATATTCTGCTATTTCGTTTTTCACAAACCAGTCAAGCAAAATGTCAAAAGCAGACAGTGATCAGAAAAACATGTCTATCACTAATAATATAAAATGTCAACTTTGCAAATTAATAACGCAACTTCATAGAATCATCCGACTCTCAACCTCAGTTGTTTGGAAGATAGCTCCATCACAATATCAGACTGGTTGAAGTTGGTCAGTGACTTCTAGTCAGCTTGCCTATTCTTGCCGGCCTACTGCTGGGGAAGGCCAATTTTGAACCAGAATCCCCATAGGGCCTCAAAGTTTACTTAATTCAACTTTTAATATTTAAGAAGTGCCATCCAAGCATGGACAATGTCAACAGAATACTAATGAAAGAGTCATTGCATCAAACTGTGCACAATGACACTCATAAAAATATATAGGGATATAACTTTTTTCACTGAATCACCATGTTTATAGGAAAACTATGTTTAGAGAAAAGTATCAAATGAATCAGAATTGAAAGAACATTATTCACTGGACACATCATAATCACTGCAAGCAGAAAATCATTCGTCATTGTTGGATGACAAGAAGAGTGGAACTCCTGGACATTGTAATGTGTGGTCCTGGTGATGTAAGAACTGATTCATGACATGGTGATGTAACCAAATGGTAATGCACAGTGATTCAGCATGAATAATTCTCCCTGGTATGACAAAATGTCCATCACATCCTCACAAGTGGTCAAAAGAGATGGTTATTGCGATGAGATCACAACAGTAAATAATACCCGGTATCATTGTAATCATGATCATAAACTTGATCATATTGTTATATTTATCATATATTTTTTCAAATAATTACTCCTAATTCAGTGCACTGGTTATTATAATTTATTTTTCAATTTTCACATGTTTCATTTTATTTCATAACTTGATTCCTCAAACATTTTTCTCTCTTCATTGATTTCATAGCGACCTCTGCCATCTTATGTCTGCTGTATTGCTTAATGAGAATTAAAACCTCACTAAACACACAGTCTCAATCTAAATTCTCATTTCCTTAAAAATGTATAATAATTTCAGGGCAAAAATCAAAGGGATCCATTACTCATTTCTATAATTAATACCCAACTGATGATGAACTCCTGTGTGACTTCAGTTTGTCAGCACTAGGAGACAGTCTCAGGGTAATCAGGCAGAGCTCGAAAACTGATCAAATGACCAGCTATCATTAATAATCCAGGGTTGACCTCAATCACCAAGAAACTGTGACAACAGGAGTGTCCCTCCGAGACCAATGCTGACCTCACATCCTGCAAATGAGCATGTCTGTGATGCCAACATTGACCGAGGAGCCGCCAACCCAGATCAGGCTCCGATATCGGCCCTGTATTGATTTGTAACTCTAATCAGCTGGTGCGACTGTCATTTGGTCCAAGTTGACGCAATCTTGAGCTGGCGAGCAACATTCAGCCATGCCATCGTCGGACTGACGTCAGTACTAAATCATGTTTTATATGGGCATGAGCCTATTCTCATAGAGAATATCATGAAAACAAGCACCTTGGAGAACCACATTTCCTAAACATGTTGTTTTGCACTTTGTCTAGTAGGCATGGTGGTAAGCCTACGTAAGACCACTGAAGATGTTTGCGCAGGTTTTGCATGATCAGCACATATATGCAATAATTGTTTACCAAGACACTAATGTTGTTACAGTGTCCACTGTCATAATAAGATTATGCCAATTTAGCTTCAACCTGATTAAAAAATGTCTCATGAAGAAAGTTTGATCTTATATGGGTTGCAAAACATATTTCAATCATAAAATAAAAAGGGAAACGTAAATCGAAACAGTGCAAACAGAAACACTAAGTTATTCAGTAATAACATCAGTATAATATTTTTCGTAATAATCAAGTATTTTCAAAACATGTCAACCTAATGTTTCTTCACAAAATGTGACATGACATGACATACCATATATACACACATATCTGTCACACTGAGTTTATGTGATTAGACTTCGGCATGTTCTTCATCACTAAGGTAAAAACAGAATTGTAAATGCCGAATTTGACAATCAAACTACATGTTTTACTTGGAGAGCAACAAATATACATCCCAGAATGATGAAACATGTGTCAATAGAAACTGCATATACCTTTAATGAGGACAACTGTTGCCACCAGAGACACACTTGTATCACTCATACAAACATACTGACTCGGACTACTAGCTGTTGAATGTCAATGTGACCCAGCAGTTCATGCAATATGGCACTATTTATCGCCAGACATGCCAGAAAGGAGCAAGCTTTGGTCTCATATTTGAATAGGGTGCCCTGAAAAGATTATTCATTATCATGATTATTCCAAGAAGGAATATGTCCTTGACCATAACAGAGTGTGACGAATTTCAGGGAAAACAACAGATTGGACAACACACATAGCAACTCAGAAAGCTTTGTGTGATCTGATGCATTGATTATTAATGTCCAACAGAACATCACATAATTTCATATACTACTATTGTCATAACCTTGTAAAATAACACTTTTTCAACCTAACTTCCTGTTTCTTTGAAAAAATACAATCATTAATGTGACCTGATGCATCTATATTTAGTAATCTGGAATTTACAAGGAAGAAACTGGCATTAATCATGAACTTGCAAACAGCAGACAATGGGCAACACAGCAAATGTGATCTTATTCCAATACCACTGCTAGACATGGTAACCAAATGAATTCATTATCAAGATAATAAATATTTGACCTTCTAACAGGGTTATTACAAAGACTTGTGCTAAAACATTAATGTTCAAATGTCATTTGAGAGAATTGCCCCCCTTTTATGGGGAAACACAATACGGTAGAGTAATGGGAAACTGTCCCTGATAAAACCAATTGCGGAATGTGATAGTAGGACATTGATTCAGATTGTACAACAGAGAATGAAGCCATGAAGATAGAATCAGATGTTCCTTTTATCTCTATGCCACACTGCATAAAACTCACCACTTTCTAATTTGTAACCCTATATTAATAGACTGCAGTGCTTGACTAAGTTTGATAATTTTTAACTAGGAATTAGTTGTTTCATTAATTAAACATTTTGAAAAACATAGAGTTTGATCAATATATTTGTGTTTGTTTGTTGCTTAATGCTGCGCACAGCAACATTCCAGCTATATGAAATCAGTCTGTATATATTTGTGTTTGTTGCTTAATGCTGCGCACAGCAACATTCCAGCTATATGAAATCAGTCTGTATATATTTGAGTCTGGACCAAACAAACCACTAAGTGATATTGTGGGTAACAATCCACTCCTTTGGGGCATGCTACAGTGTCAGAAACTGTCACTAGTCCTGCAGTCCTTGCCAATATTGCCCAATGGTAAAGGTATCATAAGGACTAGTAGAAATTGTCCTTTTTAAGGGTTTTGCTTTAAGTTATCATTGTAAGGAGTAGTGGACGAAAACTGTTAGTTTCTAACCCTGTGCTATCAACTAAGTCAAGGTGACTTGTTCCAACTTGGAATCCTCAAGGTAGAGAATCGGCCAGGCCTTAACGTGAGGTATTACTTAACCACAAAACATTGTTTACTCAACTCATGTTTTACTCGAGTTGATTCTAAAATGCCACTAGCCAAGCTGACCAGCTCAGTCTCACAAAACAGTATAGTTCACCTCTTCTGAGTATCAAGAATTCTGGGTCTTACTTGTTTTCAAGGATGGTAAGTACACACCACACTGTACTACTCCCTATCAAAAACAGAAAATTGTTGAAGCGGCATAAACATGATAAAGCAATATTTACTACTGTACAATGTACATGGTTTGATGAAATAGAATAATGTAAGGACTAGTACAGTGTTACAAATTAAAAGGAGCCCTGTTGTTTGTGACACTTGCTGATATAGTATTGGAAGCAAGGGACCCTCTCTGTCTCTTACATTCAACATTACGGGTATGCAGGACCTCCTGACATTCATGCTTAATTTCAAACACTGAAAGCATGTCCATGAGGACAAGGAAATCCTTCCAACTAGTAATTGTCCTAGCCCATGAACATGAAGATCTGGGTTAGAATTGGCCTTCAGAAATCCTTGTTGTTTGAGGTGACTTACGGGATCGGGTTGTCAAGCTTGCTGACTTTGTTGATTCAGAATGTCACTAACTGGATTGTCTGGTCCAGGCTCAATTGTTTACAGACTGCCGTCATAAAGCATGAATATTGCTACGTGTGTCGTTCAACAAACAAACAAATTACTATTCCTAGCTCCTGTGGTTTATGAAGCTTTCTAATGTCTAACACTACCATTGCTACAAATGATAATAGAACCATTAGGCATTGTTAGGCATGCACTATTAACAGTTGCTAGTTGCTATGCAGGGTTAAACAGCAACCATGCCATGCTTGCTGCAAACACTGCTTTATACCACATACCACCTATCTGGTCAAGTTTCACATTCACTCAATGTTTCCATTTTAACAACTGGTCAGTGTTTAATGACAACTAACTGAACTTTTCTTTGTTCAGTATATAAATATTCACTCAATGTTTCCATTTTAACAACTAGTCAGTGTTTAATGACAACTAAATGAATTTCTCTTTGTTCAGTATATAAATATTCACTCAGTGTTTCCATTTTAACAACTAGTCAGTGTTTGATGACAAAGGGTCAAGCAAGGAAGGGGACCTTTCAATGACCTGCCTAAAACAAATACTGACCCAAACAATTCAACAGATCTTTCAGCAGATGTTGATCTGAACTTACACAGACAGAGAGGACAACTGAATGCTAAATACGGACAAACAGTAACCATCTGTCAACAAACGATAATGCCAGTGTTCACACTACACAACAGCTGCAACATCTCCAACTGGTTTCAACTTCAGCAGCCGTAGGAATTATTAGATTCAACTATGCAAAATCCTAAGGATTCAATGTTACACATTCTCTATAAACATGATCAAGGTCAGATAAAATTATGCTCAACATGCAATGAAAACATTTTCTTGCTCATTGCCAAAGTCTAGATTACTATAAATCATAGTCTCAAAACAGAAGACATTGAAAGGTATGTTGAAAGGTATATACATACCTGGACTACCAAAGACATTCATGATGTTGGAAGCACATTGAAAATCTAGATACATCTGCAGATCTTAAACTCTCAACACCAAGACCAGGGATAATTCTAGGGTGGGGACTTGTGCTTTTAGCCCCTAAATTTTTAAAAAAGGCCCACGTTTTCAAATACCAAGGGGCATTTTAACATTGAGCTGGATGGGCGAACCTCTGGAATATTTTGAAATTTTCACACAAAGGGTCCATGTCAGAAAATTCCAAGAGTGAACCCTGCAAGACCTGCTATATAGTTGGCTTTATCATACTTTACAGAAGTATTGTATTCTGGTAGTCATATACATTTTCAATTAGCAAGGTAATATTCCAGCCCAAATGCACCATCATTGATAAATGGAACTCACACCTCAGGATGCATTAGGAAAAAGCTTAACATTTTAGATCCATCCCTGTCCTATAAAACTCCAATAACACAAAGCATGATCTATAACAAATGTCAAACAATACAAACAGTTATAATTCGGCACTAATCAGGTGACAGCAAGAAACAAACACATGTAGAAATGGATTTACTAACAGGGAGTGAGAGTGTATGTTGTTACACACCACTGAACAGCAATATTCAAGTGAGGCAAACCAGTGAATGACAGCATGAGCATCGACCCATACAGTCATAACACACAATAAGGTGCTGGGTGAGAGCATAATTTTCCCCCAAAGAGATGGACCAAGGTTGTGAGAGTGACTAACCAATATGAAGCAGCCCTATGTTGTACCTCCAATGATGTAAAAGGTCATGCAAAACAAATTCATCATTTTTACCATTTACTAATTTTGAACTGCAGGATCATGACTGATAAGTTCAGTTTTTTTAATAGAGGTCCGAAGCAGACAAAAAAATGGTTGATGGTGAGAGCACTTCATCACTTAGCCCCATTGAAAGTAACCTCAAACTACACACGTTACCAGAGACATCTGCCCTAACGCCCAATGGAGAAGTGGAATAAGTTCATTCAGTCTATGAGCATCTGTCAGAGATCTGTGTTTATTAGGAAGCATTTTTATCCTCACCTCTTGGAGTCGGTCGCCTGAATCAATTTGGGATCCATCGACTGCTTCAGCTCTGGAAAGTCCTCGCACACCCATCTGAAACATGAAGAAGAATTTATTACACAACCACACAATGATTAATAATAGCAGAGGGCTTGTAACATGGTTAATGGAAATACAAAAAGATTACACAGTTGACTAAAACAAAACTTCAAACAGTATTGAATCACCAACGATATGGATCATGATTGGAAGTGTTGGTGGTAGCAGTTATGACCAAAGTATCTTCATGGATCCACTTTACTATATCTCAATTCAATTACAATAAATACCCTGGACCCATTCGCCACCATGAACTGGTTTTGAATCTCATTCAAAATATATGAAGCAGAAAATATCTGTCCAATACAATTACAATCATGAGCTAAAATCATTTTCTGTGTGAAGTCACTGATAAGAAAGATGGGGTTGGTTTCATCACTTCTTAAACAAAGCTATATAGGTGCAAATGGGTCCTGGGTATTTATCACAAACGTGAAAACATAATGCACAGGTTTATCAAGTTCGTTGTTTAACGAGGCACTCAGGAATATTACAGCTGTATGACAGCGGTCTGTAAATAATCAAGTCTGGATCAGACAATCCAGTGATTGATATCATGAGCATCGATCAGTGCCCAGCAGTGACGTAGCCGAGGGCTGTTACAGATTTTAGCAACTTTGGAGACATGAACTGTGTAACAATTTAGCAACGACACAAACAGGATCAGTTTCCACATCTGTGATCTGCGGCTTGGGTCTGTTTCCTCAATCAAAAACAGTTGGATTTGTTTGAAATGTGTACAAATTGCTACCTCATTTCAGTTTGTCACTGTGTGGACCATCTGACTGCATTTTATCACTTCTTGATGGGCCAGGCAGACTTTAATCAAACGTGATCTCTCATAGCCTAGGGTAGCTTCCATTTAGCAAGGGGCAGTAACTCTAGCAGGTGGGCCAATAGATTGTAATGTTTATATACTGTTATTGAGAGCTGAAAATGACTTAAGGACAGAATTTAAGAATGATATTATTTGATAAAGAGGTTATCCAGGAAGTAAGTTTTTATACAGGTAACTATCCAATATTAGAAATAAACACTACGTAGTTAGCTCACCCAGGCTTGCTAAACATTGCTAAATACAATGTTTATTATTAATACAAAACATGCTCACCAGATAACCTTTACCTTTATGTATTATTCATGAACTTACATATTGAAATGTATTACACTCGCTTATCATGCTTAATAAACATATGAACAGTAATTAAGCACTTCCTGACATGGCTAGCATGCATTTCAAGTACATGTAATCAAAAACTACTGACTGGCATGAGATCCTTGTATAGTTATCAAATTATTATGTGCATACATTTACGGGGAAATGCTTTCAATACTGTAGATGGGCTCATTATTTTGAATCCAAGGATTCATGGGTTTAATACTGGCTTAGGTCATACTTTGTTTGTGTGCTTGCTGACTAAGTAACACCACACTCAAGGTGGCCTGTAAATATCCTGTGATTGATACAATGAACAACAATCCACAGTCTGAATATGATCACACAATAACAAGCTACTCGCTAAGTCTGACCACCTGACCCATTATGACCAGCACGGGTTGCTGGGACCCAAAATACCCGGACTCCCTACAGAAGTAATCTACAGGTCCTACGCTGAGAGGACTTCAACTCCCAGTTATTTCTCTTGACCAAAATCACAATACGATGATCAATAACTCCAAGTACCGTGTATACCAAAACTGGGCTTCATTTATTGTGCTCATGTGTGGAATTGCCTGTATGTTTGTCTAATTGTTTGTTGTTTAATGCACCATACTCCGCAATATTCCAGTCTGTCTGTAAATAATTGAGTCTGGACCAGACAATCAAGTGATTGACATCATGAGCATCGATCTACGTAATTGAGATACAATGACATGTATCAACCAAGTCAGCGAGCCTGATCACCCGATTCTGTTAGTCACATAGGTTGCTGGAGACCAATTGTAATGGATCTTCATGGGGATGTTGCCTAGAAATGGCTTGTATCATGAAACTGCATTTCTGTACCATTCCACAATTTATCACCAAACACTTCTTCACAGTGCAATTTTGCTTCAAGTGGAAATCTTCTTGTTTATATTTTTCCAACATGTGTTCCAAAAACATTACGTGTGATAAAGAAGAAAAAATATGACCGATTTATATCTTATCTGTTCAGGAACATGTGACGTCCCTCATGTTAAACATACCACATTTATTCACTCATAACACATTATTATACCTCATGGGCACTATTGTATTTCTAATATATGCTTAGAAACACAGAAGTTATTAGTGGACACAATCATCGTGGTTCCTGTTGTTCAAGATTAATGGAAAATATTTATCTCACTCTCTCAAAAACATCTTTAAGTACACCCTTGATGTTTTTCAGTTCTTCCAAGAAATGCATTAACCACGCTTGTTAACAGAAACAAATTATTATCAGCAGCTCCTAATGGCTTAACCATTGTTAAACTCTTGAGCATGTTGAGTTAATGGAATTTGACATTGGAGATTGTTAGCTTGTTTGATAACATCTTAGCTATGAATTATGAAATCTGTCATCTAACTTATTCATAAGCACCATTCCCAGATGCTAATGACTTTTCATGACTCATATAATACTTTCACAAAGAAAACTGCAACTTAACACAACAGATATCAAAGCTTACAAGTAAAAACCTGTTTAATAAGATGAACAACTGCACACACAATCGGAACCACTAACAAACTGTTCTCCATAAATAACTTATATATCCCAAAGCTGCCACAAGTTCTATAAAAAATACTTCCTTGCATAATCACCATGCACAAAAAGGCAATTAATTTCTTTATCAACACCACCCACACAAACCTTCCAGATATAAGTCAAACAGTGAAACATATCCACAGAGATCCTGTCACCATTATCAAAATAACAAAGGTGTCTTGGAAGTGGCTCTCGTTATTAATGGGATCAATGAAAACAAAAATTTAATAATCCATTGCACATAAACTTATTATTTCTGTTTTATGGAGGTGTAAATGCATGTTAACTTGATTTATGTGTTTTAATGAACATGTTTAAAATTAAAAGATATTTGTTAAATGAGAATATCATTACTGTTTTTATGAAGGTGAAAACGTACATTTAACATAATCAATGTGGTTTATGTACATAATGGCAAAATATTTCTGCAAAAAGTTTAAGTAACATGAAGGTTTCAATACTTTTTCAGCTGTACATCAGTACGTGATGCAATGTCAGAAGATGAAATAACATGAACTGTATTTGTGTCTGCTGGGCATGAGTGAGTGAGTGAGTCCTTGCCGAACTGCCCAATAGATGAGTGTCATTTTAAGGGTTTGGCTTTTTGTTATCATAAGGAGTAGTGGACTAAATATGTTAGTTCCTATCGCAGAAATTGAGCTAAATGCAGCTTTCAACAGTATTTTAATAATATGGCATGTAAGCTTAATGTGGGAGGAAAGCCTGAAGTCTTGCAGGTCTCAGACGTTTACACTTTGGTGAAACCCACAAGCATGGGTATGGTGCTGACAAACATAGAAAGATAATCGGGGCGAACAGGGATTCTCTACCACAATCAAAGGTTTCTTGGCATACCCAAGGGATGCAACTCTGCACATCAAATTGTGGCACCTTAGGCAACTGGGCCACCTGTGCCCCTGTGTCTGCATGTATGTAAACAGGTACACAAATTATTAGCCTTGTATATTTAGGGTTTGTGAGATGTGAACCAGTCATATTTGGAAAAAAAAGTTTAAACTTTGGATTTTAATGAAACAGTTATAAATATTCGTATATCTCATTTGTTAGCTTATCTTCTTCTGCCTCTCCACTGAAAGGGCAATTTTCTTTGTTATATGCATACAGAAGAACCATGTGGCACTTAAGTTTTCATACCCATGACAGCTAAACAAAATGAAAATAAGACCATTTTAGTGTCTACAACAAATGAATCCACCACTTCTTTCACCTCCCACTGAGAGGTGCATCTCACAGCACATAATGTATTCACCACAATCCATAATACGCCAAAAATAAACATGATGAGTAAGCACTTGATATAAAACAAGGCCATATTTCCTCGTGCAGTCTCCAGTACGGGTGCATAATGTGCATGACTGAGCACAACAGTAACCAATTATACCATATGCATCAGATGCAGCACTGCTTCTCTCCTTCAGCAGCCTTGACTAGGTCACAGCGACCTAGGAAGCTCCTTAGGACACTGATGTTTGAACGTGCATTCCATAAATCAATTCTGTCTTGAGATGTATGTTTTCAACTTTAATGATTAGGTAATGTTTAAACAAAAAATAGTAGCCTGGTAGTCTTCAACAGCGTGCCAAAAGCTAAAAAGGTATCCTAGGGAAGGTCAAATTCAAACTTGTAGCAGGTAATTCTGAGAATAAACATGAAAGAGAAACGAAACAATAAATGTGAAAATAATGTTTGACATACTTTTCCATATGAATAGATTTGTTGATGGGCCAAACAATTACATCACAAGAAATTATACTCCTAAAATTGGGCCATATCAAACATGTGTTAAAGTAATTTCTTTCATAAAAAAAACATGGAGTGGGTAATGTTTGTAGTTTCACTTGCAGCCATATTGACATAATACTATCAATGAGGAGAAACAAAAGTATAAAATGTAGCTTTCAATCCCTGCTTCCACACCTTAATATGTTGAATCCAGGTTTTGAGGAACAGAAAACTCAAAACAAGAAAACCTATTGCTGAATTACACACTACATAACTAGGGTAGAGGTAGTTTTGCCAGAAAGACTATTCAGTAGTATTTACCTCAAAACTAAGTCAATAAATGCAGCACAACTATTCACTTCACACTGTCTTTGACAATACATTTCACAATAGCCAACCCATAACTTCAACTTTCACTTTCCAATAACAAACTAGATAAAAGGACACAATTCTTTATGTAAACACGGTCAAGCTGATCTCAATTTCCCTTTCGCTTCTATAATGTTCCTCTGTCCCTGA